AAGATGTCCCTGAATTGTGTGTCTGGAATAACGTAAAAAAGAATTATGCACGTTCTTTCACAGTAAAATACTCACTTCTCTACTGTGAATAAATTGTAGTAGATGGTGAATGCACAGAGTCTATTTGCAAATTGTAGTCTGGAATACTATGGTCTCAGTTTTTAATCATTTTATTCTCCCAGGGTTCTGAACTTTTTAGTCATTTTGCAATTTAGAGAAGCTATTAACTGTACAATTAAATCATGTGCTACTGCAAACTGTTAAGTGTATTTAATGTGGTTTAACTAACAACTGCCTCTTTTCTGTTCTGTTCTCCATTTACCACCTACTGCTTTTGAAAATCCAGTAGTTCTAGTGATCCTATGACCGCAGAGTGAGACAGATAATTTTACTAATCTTGGTGAAAATAAAACATCCTTTTAAGAAATCAAACAAAACAACAAACTTCTACTGGACTGGTTAGTCTTAAATCAGCTGTGAAACTGCATCTAAAGGGATTGAAATGACAAAAGAAAGCACTGGAATCTACTCCCTGAAATCTCATGCTATGTCTCCTTGTCAAAAAGGATCAGTGGATTGGTTTTATTTCTGATAAAGTTGCTAATATGTACTGGTTGTCATCAGTTTGAGTTCTAATTTGACATCTGTGAAAGTAAAATTTTATTTTTGCCAATATTTAGCATTTCTTCAGGGATATGTGAAGAAGCATATTCCACAGTCTAGTGTAGTGCACTATAGACTGGAGAAGATTGGAGAATAAGTGCATAGGAAATCAGCTATCAGTTGTTGATTCAATAGTTGATTAATTAGTTAAACAGTTAATAGTTAAACCAGAAAGAATTTCATCTCCCTATGTAAGAGTCTTACTTTCAGTTCTCTGATGGCAGGAAAAATAGTTACTAATGTTAATAGTATTTATATCTCCATTATACCCTACTCATGCCTTCTTTTTCTGATTGAAGTTCAAGATGTAGGCCTAGTATCAGTAAAATGCTGCTCTGGTTGCTTTTCTTTTCCAGAACACCATAGCACTGTTGTTGAGCATGGAGGCACTTTCTAAGATCTCTGCAGAAGGCTCTCCCTTTCTGTTAGAGCCAAGAGGCTTTGATTATGCTTGCCCTCCTGCAGCTAGTTCAGAAGAGAATTACTGCTTGTCCCAGTCTCTGTCTTTAGTACAGGCTTCAGTATTGTATTGCAGGGTTTATCTGGGGACAGAACAACAATTCAGTGAGGTGTCTTAAGATGAGGTTTTGCCTTGGTGGTCTGAATTTTTGGCAGTAATTTATTGTGTCTCAGTTCAGTTTCAGATTTTCTGCTGAGGCTTGAAATGAGTAAAGAGAATCCTGGAACTGTGTTCTATCTAGAAATAAGTTAGGCAATGATAGCAGAAATTATACAAATAACATAGCGAATGCCAAAACAGACTTGCTTACTCAGGTAAATGCAGGCTTCTGAGCTAGTTGGAAGAAGGTGAAATGTTGAAGAGGCAGATGAAATGTATGGGCAAGTAAGATGTCTCAGTCAATAGTCTTCATTCTCAATTTACCAGATGCCTGTTGAAAGTACAATACAATAGTGAAGAGGAACCAGTCCAGAAGATTCCTGGAAGATAATGCCCTGAAACAGCTGGTCAGGATGTCAACAAGGCAGGGCTGGACCTGTTGTTTGTGAACAGAGTAGGATGACTGGGTGATGTGATATGATATGATGGTTGGAAGCTCTTGGGGCCACTGTGATCAGAAAATAACAGAGCTTTTCATTGTTGAAGTAAGAAGGTGCACCAGAAAACTGCAGGGGAAAATAAGGTATTAAGGATGAGGAAAAGACTGAGGTGTCTTTTCTGAAGCAAAGAAGGCAGTAATTGTAAAACCAGTTCTCAAGGTAGCCAGCCCCTGCTCTGTAAGACAGAGAGGAGGAAGAAAATGAAGTCCCCGTGATCCAAAAGCGTGCTGCACCACTTATACATGCACAAGTCTGTGGGGCACATAGCATCCACCCGTACATTCAGTACCCAAGGGTACTGAAGGAGCCAGAGCCTGAGCCACTTTCTATCATTTAGCAACAGTCCTAGTTAACCATAAAGATCGCAGTTCATTGGAGGCTGGCAAATATGACACCCATCTGGATCTGGGGAACCATCAGGCTTGTCAGCTTGACCTCAGTGCTGAGCAAGGATACGGAGCAGGTCATCCTAATTGCTGTTACATGGCACATGCAGGACAACCTGAGGATCAGGCCTAGCCATCGTGGGTTTGTGAAAGACCGGCGCTGCTTGACAGATGTAACCTCCTAATATGATAGGGTAGCCCACTTAGTAGATAAGGGAAGGGCTGTGAATGTTGGCTAACTGGACTTTATTAAAGCCTTTGAAAATGTTTTCCACTGCATTATCCTGGAGAAACTGGTAACCCATGGCTTGGATGCATGTATACCTCGCTGGTTGAAAGAGTTACTGGATGGCCTGGCCCAGAGCGGAGTGGTGGTGTATGGAGTTACATCCAGTTGGTGGCTGGTCACCAGTGCTGTTTCCCCAGGGCTCACTACTGGAGCTTGTCCTGTTTAATGCTCTCACTGATGACCTGGTCAAGGGGATCAGGTGCACCCTCAGTCAGTTCAGAGATGACACCAAGCTGGGTGGGAGTGCAGATCTGATGGGAAGGAAGGCTCTGCAGAGGGATCTGGACAGGCTGGATCATGGGCTGAGGTCAATGGGGGGACGTTCAACCAGACCCAGAGCTGGGTCCTGCCCTTGGGTCACAACAACCCCAGGCAGTGCCACAGGCTGGGGCAGAATGGCTGGAAAGGACCTGGGGGTGCTGGTGGCAGCAGCTGAACGTGAGCCAGGCTGTGCCCAGGTGGCCAAGAAGGCAAACGGCATCCTGGCCTGGCTCAGCAATGGTGTGGCCAGCAGGGCAGGGGTTGTTCCCCTGTCCTGGGCACTGGTGAGGCCACACCTCAGATCCTACGTTCAACTGTGGGCCTCTCATGATAGAAAAGACATTGAAGTCTTGGAACAAGTCCAGAGAAGGGCAGCAGAGCTGGTAAAGAGTCTGGAGCACTAATCCTGTGAGTAGTGGCTGGGAGAAAAGGAGCAAGGTCAGAGTCAGGCAACATTCCAAGATATGGCCTTAAGTTGCACCAGGAGAGATTTAGATTGCATATTAGAATTTCTTCAGAGAGGGTTGTCAAGCACTGGAATGGGCTGCCTGGGGAAGGAGTATAGTCAGCACTTCTGCAGATATGTAAGGGCCTTGTAGATGAGGCAGTTCAGGTCGTGGTTCAGTGGTGAACTTGGAAGTGCTGGCTTAATGATTGGACTATATGAGCTGAAGGGTCTTTTCCAACCTTAATAATACTATGATTCTAAACTTGCACTTGTATCTCTTTGGCATTGAATACAGTCAGTAGCTGAGCTTGAGGCTTTTGAGGGGTTTTGAGTGATTGAGTGTTGAGTGTTTCCACATTATCTGGTAACTGTTCTCCATGTGCGGGATGATTAATGGAATTTGAAATAACCTTGTACACCGAAGAGCTGCAGGTATTTAGCCAAGTCTTCCGACTCTTTTACATAATACTTCGCTTTCTTATCCATCACAATATGCAAATATTGCAGTTATTATGTGTCCTCTTTGTCTTAGTGGGTCCTTGTGACTACAAATCTAAATAATTAGGAGTTCATCAGCTTGATTTTGATGATTTTGATTTTGATGATTTCGGTTCATTAAAATAATTTCCCAGGGTATTGTCAACATCCTTTGTCAGGAACATAATCATTTCTTACCAGATCTGAGAAAAGAGGAATATTCTAAAATTGCAATAAAATACATGATTATGAGAAGATCATATTATTACTTCTGCAGTTGGGGTATGAAGAGCGACCTTAATCAGATTTAAAAATAAAGTATTTTTGTAAGAGGCATATGCTGCTTTTATTGGAACTCTGCTGCTCCAAGTATGTTCTAAACAAGCAATTCTTAAAAAATGAGGAAGTCAGAAATGGGACAGCTCAGGCAGTTTGTTTGTAACAGTTATTAATGAGTTAAATACTGTTTCAAACTCAATATTCCTGTTGAATTCAATAGTACTGATCTGCATGTCTGTTAGCAGTCAAGGCAAGGGTATTGAAGACTGAATCAATGAAGATTGAATTATCCTCCTCCTGTTAGAGGAAGCTTCTTCAGTGCAGGTTGTGATGCACTGGGATGGGGAAATTTCCTTTCACATTGCCTGTCCTGTAGGAAAGGGAGGAATTCAGTTACCAGTGGACTTGATAGAGCATCCTGAGTTTTTGGTTCAGAATGTGACTGCCACAAAGAATTGTGGGAAGAGAAGTAAGGAAATTAAAGTACTTTAGTTGCTATTGTATAAAATATCTATGAGTTTGATAGGCATCCTGTAAAACATTGAGAGAAAACTTGGCATCAAGTAATGAAACTTCTCTTCATATTTCCTCTTTTTAAAAAAAATCTGTATTCTTCCAAATTGTAATAAAAATAAAAATCAGAACAAAATTATGATTTTAATTCTTTGTGGCATCTTTCCTCCCTCCCCCCATCCTCGTACCTCTACTGAAGACATTTTGTATGGATTCTTTCACTACACCTGAGTTTTAACCAAGGCATGCAGCCTTGCCAAGTTTTCTGAAGACCTATGTCTTTTTTTAATTCCTAGTTATTTTCTAGAAATGCCAGTTTTAGATCACAGGAAGTCCAAAAAAGGCCAAGTACATACCTAAAATATTTTGTTGAATAATAATAAAGATATTTCATTTGTAAGTACAACTTATTTCTAAGGAGATTTTGTATATATTGTTAATCTGTTTTTCATGTCTACTGTACATCTACTGTTTTGAGCAAATGGGTAGAAAAGCCAAAAACTATGCTTAAAAAAAATACATAAATCTTGCATTAAGCTTTGGTGTTGTGTGTTACTTCCTTAATGAATAAAACCTGTTGATTCAAATATTCTATATATGTCCTTTTCATTTTGTCTTTTGGTAGGTTGATGAAGTGGTGGATGAATATAGTGAAAATAATTTCTATGAATCTGATGAAGAACAGAAAGAGAAGGATCAGAAATTGAAAACCACCTATACTATGGACCCAGATCACAGGCTGCTGTTACGAAATACAAAGCCTCTGCTTCAAAGCCGAAACGCTGCTGTATGACAAATTCCTTTTTCATTAAAATGTTAAACTACAAATACCTGTTTTTAGAAAAATTAAAAGATTGAAGAGTAAAATCTAGACCTCTTCAAAACTGGTGTAAATACCCTTAAGTAACTCTAGGAGAAATGTGATGGATCTATTTTGAATTTAACTTAGCTTGTAAGTGAAACACCTAAACTGATTGTGATATGTGCTCCAAATAATACAGACAAACAAAATACTAGAAAAAAGTAAGAGAGCATTTGAATCCAACTTACATAGCATGTGATGACTCTACCTTAGGTTGTTCTTAATGCTAAAACTCTCAGCAATTAGGATGGCACAAACTCGTACAGTTGATTGGAACAAATCTATAAAGAAAATCATAGTTGTTATTAATTCATTAATTTCTTTTTTCGAGTCTCATGTTTTAAAAGTAGGCAATTATACACCACATTTCTAGAGCTGTTGCCTTGTCAAGGCTCCAGGATAGATATGACATTGTAAGTGTATGGTATGCTAGATTATTTCCATGAGATTTTAAAATACAGGAACTGGAAAAAGCTATGCTCACAGTGAATCATTATGATGTTAATCAGATCACAGAATGTTACTTCTAATCTCAGTTTGTCCTGTTAGTCAGGACTTGATGTCTTACCAGACATGTGTTCCAGTGATAATGAATATTCATATCACTGCAAAAACAGTGCACCATGATTAAGTCACCTTGCCACCTATTCTTAGTAAGTTAAACAGATCAGATTTTAGTTCTGTATTGAAACATATTCTGAGATTCTAACTCATGTGTAGCACTTCTCAAAATCATTTATGGTCTGCCAGCCCAGCAGACTTTGGAAACAAATTGATTAATTTTTTAGAACTTCTAGCTACAAATCACTGTTTAGTGTCTGTGGTATTTCTTAATTTCATGCAAAGAACAAGTGTGTTTGATATGTTTGCCATCCCACTTCATGAAGAGGTTCAATTAGTTATTGCCCTCGTTCCATAAATAATTTTCTTTATTAAATATGGTATGGGTTCTCACACTTACGATCTTCAGCTTTCTGATATTAAAGTTAACTGAGATGTTAAAGTAAACTTTGAAAAGTGTTGCCAAAATTATGCTACCCTACATTGCTATTATGTGAATATTCATACTATTCACAGAATTTACCTGTAATTAATTTAATTAATGGCTTTCCATATGACCATGCATTTTTTGTCAGTAGTAAAAGATACTTGTGGTATATTAGTAAAAATCTTAAAGTTATTTTCTGGCTTCAGATGTTTTTAATAGCTTTTTATTGTTGAATAATGATTTTTGTTTCATTGGTACTAAGATTTAAGATACCAAGTGAAGTGTTATCATGAGGACTGTACTTGGAGTCTTTATGATTTGTTTTGTTTGAAACAGAGTTGATCGTGACACTGTTGTAAGAAAGGTTGTGACATGACACTAGCATAAAGATCATATTTTGTCTTATTTATAAGAAAATTTGAGAAGAAAAAAACCGGGGTTTAAGTTGCTTATGTCTCCATCTTCTGAATTTTGTTAGCCTGGATATTGGTATACAACCCTGTAGCTTTTACTCTCTGTTGGATTTGATGCTTTAAAAGTAAAAATAAAAGCAGCTGTTGTTTTATACATTGTATAGTAGAATAATGTAGTGAAAGATTTTTAGTGGAAACTAGATAAAAGGTGATATTGAACCTGTAGTAATAAAGGAAAGCACATTAGAAAAACTTGTAAAGAATATTTCTTCATTACTTTGTACAGCTGATGTTAGCAATACTGATTTATCAACGATGGTATCACTGTGTTTGTAATTTAAATTACCTACTGCTTTTTCCCTTAGTCACTATTTCTATGACCTTCTATTTATTATAGCATACAGTTAATACTGGGAGGAAGTAAACCTACTTAATTAGTAAAAATATATTTATTCCAATGTTCTCCCTCAGTCTGCTTTGCTGATTTTGCTTTCTGAGGAAGAGTGAGCTGGTAGTCCTGCAGGTCTGAAGCAAATGTGGTAGATATAAATGATGGTTTGAAGTTAACATGCTGCTTTGAATGTTCTTCCTTTAGGTGGTAATGGCAGTTGCACAGCTTTACTGGCATTTGGCACCAAAATCTGAAGCTGGTATTGTTTCTAAGTCATTGGTGCGTTTACTCCGTAGTAACAGGTAGGTCAAGTCCATACTTTACATCACTGTGCGTACTTTTTTTTTGTGCATATTTGTTTAGCCATAGTTATAAGAATGTAGCTATTACGCAATTAATTTCATTTTGAAATTGTCCTGTAATACTCCCTTTCACTCAACAAATGAGGATCACTAAAGGTAATTCCATCATTTTGGGTATCCCATCTAGGGACCAATGATCTGGGGATCATTGGTTATTGTGTATCGTTCCTATAAGTTTTGTTCTGAGAAGAATCATGGCTGCCTAGTTAGTGTTTAAATAGAGTCAGTATTAACTGGTTTCCTTAATATCTTGTTAGTTTTTTTTAATTATTGGAAATTTAGTTCTATTGAGTTCCTTACTGTCTTGCTAAGCACTAAAGAAGTCTTTCGGTGTGTATTTTATTTTCCTGCATTGTAACACAAATCCCAGAATAGGTGAGTTTAGAAGGGATCACTGGATATTGTGTAGTCCAACTTCCCTACTCAGGGAGGATCTCCTGGAGCACAGTACTCAGGACTGTGTCCGGTCAACTTTTGAGTATCTCAGGGGAAGGAGACAACATATGTGTTAAAATTGGTATTGCCACTTGATACACTGCTGCGTCTTCTGTGTTTTCTTAATCTTTGGATGGTTTTTAAAGAACAAGTTCATATTTAATACAGAACGTTCTGTGTTGACCTCATCATCTTCAATAGTATTTTGTCTGCTTTTCCATGAAAGATCTTGTCAGCCACATTTTATTAGGTTGTTAGTGCTATTTTTTCATTTGTAGTTCATAGTTTTTGTATAGTGTATATATGTATATATGTCTGCATGGAAGTGTTTTTCTTCCCTATTCAGTTTTTAGATTTTGAACTTCCAGATATTTGTATTAAATGCCTTGAAGGGTTTACATGAGACAGTATTAGTTGTTTTTTGAATAACTTTTTAACTAAAAATGGTATTTTTGCCTAGAATTTCACTTAGTGAACTTAGTGAAAATAATTTACTTTTTATATCAGTTATATCAAACAGAAAGGTATTTTAAAAAATCTCACTTCTGTTGTGTCTGGCAAGATTACTCATCCTAGATATATCTTAACTTTTGTAAGCCCTGCCATCAAAGAGCTTTTTCTCTGCAAAAGTTCTGCAGCTCAATTTCTCTGTTGTTTAAAAGTTGGTAAAAAAGCTAAATGGGTCTAGGTAGTCACACTTTTATTTCAGATAAGAATAAATAACTATTATTTTTTTGTTTGGCTTTATAGTACAGTATGCTTCCCATTCTTGTTATGCAAAGATGAGTAAAGTGACTAAAGCAATTGGCAGATAATGTATAAATTCCTACTCACAGATGGAAAGGATTATTTGCGTGTGGTTTATTGCTTGTTTATACTCAGGTTTCAGTAAAAGAAAAGTCACTTCTTTCCTATATCTCAACTAATACCTTAAATGGCACTAGTCTTCTGATTTTTCTGTCTTGAATGGCTTTTCTGTTCTCTTTTACCATTCTGGGTGAAACACTTTTGCTTTTAGAGCCACTTCAAAATAAGCTTTTGCTGTTTGCCCTTGAAGTTATTTGCCTGTGGCCTTTAAATTAATGTCAACTAAGCTATAATCTAGTTAGGATGAGAGTGCCCGAAAGAGTATCTCATAGCAATTTCCAGTCTTATTTCAGCATGTGTAGCTGACTATTGCCATGCACCTGTGTAAGAATTGCATAAAATAGGTTTAAAAGATCTTAAGTACTTCTCTATTATCACTTTTCTTTGTAAGCAGCAGCTGTAATTACCTTAGGGCTATTAGACAGCTTTGAGTAAGAGGAGATAATGGGTATGATGATTTCTCTATTAGGATGAGATTTGCAGCATGCAAGGATTTGAACACTCATGGTCCAGAAAAATTGTGTGTAAATTATTGCTTAGTTTTTAAGCAATTGGTCACACAAAATCTGCACTTTAAAAGCTTCAGACTAGTGCCCAGATTTCTTTTTGCTCTCTCATGTGGAGACTTTTAAACTCATTCATTAATGATGAGAATACCCTCTCCAAACATGTTTAATGTCTTTTGTAGAATATTACGTAAATCTATTGTCAATCTCTGGCAAAGTCTATTATATAAAGGTGTTAGTTTCTTACAGATGTATGTGTTTGCCAGTGTATACTCTTGAGTTACAGGACATCCTGGCCCTTTTGAATTGAGAATTTTTAGAAAAATTCTCAAGACAAAAAAAGTCATAGTGAATCTTGCTAATTGTGCAATGATGATTAACTGTTGCAATTAATACAGTTGTTTCAACACTGCAGATAAAGCCTGTGTGTTTTTGTTTCATCTGTGTCATCCTTGAAATTCTTGAAATCTTGTCATTCTTGAAATATTTATTTCAAGAAGATGAATGAAATGTAAGCTATTTCCATTATATTAAAATTACTTATGTAATTCTGGTTTGAATAAATACCCAAGGTCTATAAACGTCACCATTGCATGGTATCAGTGAATATTTGTGTGTATTGGAGTTCTAAAAAAATTGAGAACCTGGTTTCATCATGTGTCTTTCTTCCTGTGAATCAAATGATGACAGCAGTTGACAGTAAGCTTTGCCTTTTATGTTTGTGCCAGAACAAATGGATAATTAAGTTTATGTTCAAATAGAATTGGACTTTCTTTGCCATGTTGAATTATTCTATGTATCAGTAATTTTACGGAATGACTCTTATTTTTCTTTTCACATTCTAGGGAGGTACAGTATATTGTGCTGCAAAATATTGCCACTATGTCGATTCAAAGAAAGGTATACCCTATTTAGAATTATTTTAATCACACTGTATATGAAACATAGGATAGTTACTAAAATATGTTCTGATTTTCAGGGCATGTTTGAACCTTATCTGAAGAGTTTCTATGTTAGATCAACTGATCCAACTATGATCAAAACACTCAAGGTGAGTTTATTAAAGGCAAATTTTTTTTATATACTGCTGGACTAATCAGTTTGCAAGAGAAAGATTTTCACTGATATTACACAGGTTATTCATGTGCTGTTTCTTTATCTCACTAAGAAGTATCAAGGCCTTTAGTTAAGTCCACAAGGGGCCTTCTGGCTTGTCAGGCTATCTGAAAGTTCCCATTACTGTGTTGAAGGTAGAAGAGCAGCTATATTTTCCACTAAAGCTTTTAGGACCTTTCAGTGATAACAGAGCATTATAATTTTTTTCAGCCAGGCATTCTGACATTGAGTGTTTGGCTGTTTCATGGGAGGAAAAGAGTCTTTAATACTGTTAGCTTAAAAAGAGTTTAAATCTGTTCCCATGTACAAAATGAGGCAGTGTTTGAGTCCCAAATTTTCTTTGAAGTTAGCATTTGACAGGAGAAGTACTTTAGGCTTTCCTCAAGGCCACATCTCAGCGCATGTTTTCAGCTGCTGTCTTGTTGTTTTATCTGTACTTACTCCTTAAAAAATGTGAAATCCTTGAAAAAACAATGGCTAAAAAAGTGTCTACTGTTATGTGCCTTTTCTCTTGTTTTGCTTTAGATTATCATAGGCACTTGTATTTAGGAGTGGAAGGTAGGTTTCTGAGAGAAACAGTATTTTTTCCTTACCTTTGTTTTACATGTGTATCACACTTACGTTTTATGTGCAAGAGTGATGTAGTCCAAGATGGCTATGCCAAAACTTCTATCATGTTTATATTCAAACTAAGTATATTTTTGTATTTTATACCAGCAATAATACTATATTTTTGTATTTTATACCAGCAATAATACTTAAGTAAATTTGAGGCAGTTGGAAGCAAAAAGATATTCTCTACATTTCAGAAATATTGCAAGGAATGCCTTACTGTTATCCAAAAATAATAGAAAGTTGATATATTTAAATTCCCATATTACTTGATAATATATTGGAGAAGAGGTGGAGAAGTAGAAATTGTGTTTTTCCCTTTCATTGTCTCATTTGTTTCACGATGGCTGAAAAATTTAGATGACCCTAAACTTCTACATATGTAAAAAAACTTAGTTGTTTTCTCCTTCTTCTAACTCTGTAGTTCAAGCCTACCTGTTTCAAAGTAGAATGATGAGACCCATGGCAGTAACTAATATGTAGGAGCACCCTTGAATTTATCTTCTGTGCTGTTTGGATGTCTGGGTTGTTTTTTTTTTTCCAGCATCAACTTCACTTTTTTGATCACTGTTTACCATTGAGCTTGTATTTTTACAGTAACATATTTTAATCACAAGTTCTCACTTATAATGAATTGTCATCATCTCAGAGTCTTTCATTTTCTGAACAGTTAAGGTTTTTTCCCAATTACGAGCATTATTTTGCAGATATGTTGAATTTTTTTTCTGTTTTCTTAATCAGTTTTCTACTATATGGAGCTCTTACACAGCTTTTCTTAGTCAGTCTTTGTCTTCATTTCCCTGTAAACTGTAGCATCAGCTGAAAACTTTGTCATCTGTCTTCTTACTTTCATAGTTCACGTGCGATAAAGGCATATGATTTGTGATATTCTATTGAAAGCCACGCTGTATTATAATCTCCTTTTCTCTTGCTTGTTTCTCTTTTTCCTTTATCCTCTTGCTTACTATGCTGTTCTAGATATGTGTCTTTAAGAGCCTTTAAAGAAACGTCTTATGAAATTGTTTTGAAGTGTAGGTGGACTGTATCATTTCAGTATCCTTTTCTGGATGCCTCCAAGTCAAAAAATACCAACATATTTCTGAGGTATGACTTCCCTTTGGAGACACAGGATTATGTTTTGAGTTTACTTCATTCAAAGTTAAAACAGCCTGGAAGTGGAGCATCTTAACAATATATGCGAAGTGTTGTATATCATTCTTTTGTTCACCAGGAACAAAGAGGAGGACTTCCAAGATCTGATATTGTTGATGTTAAATAAGGTTTGAAGAATGGCATAGATGCAGATGTTTCTTTCCTGAGTTTAAAGGTCTTTTAATACAGTTCATCTGAATATAATGGGCCATTTATTTCTCCACTGATGCAGTTGTGACTTCCGTTATTTCTTCTTACTCTGTCGTGTGGTTCTTACATGCTAAGGCCTGTTGTGTAACATTGGAAAGCTGACAGAAGTATTTCAAGCCCATTTGATACGCAGTGAAACACTTCAGTTCGGGCTCATAAAAAATGCATCACTGAATCCTAGAGCCCTGCTCTGTAAACTTCGCAAGTACTTGCAAGGAAAATATGCCTCCTGAGTGCAGTGGGTGGTACCAGTTTGTACTCATCTCTGGTATACTCTGTTGACTTCTGAGTGATATTTTTAAAATACATTTTATATACAATAAAAGTATAGTGTATATGTGGTACTGTTTATAATACTTCATTTTAACTTTTGACAACTTTTTTTCTTGTAGCTTGAAATCTTGACAAATTTAGCAAATGAGGCCAACATATCAACTCTGCTTCGAGAATTTCAGGTTTGTGCAGAAGTGTATTCTTTTTATATTGTATCATCTCTTTTCCCATTGTTGGATGTTTCTCTTAGTCTTGGATTTTTTAAGTTTAAGCATTTTCAAAGATTAAATGTCCCAAAAATGGAAATTACACCATCTCATATCATAAAGGTAAGGGAGCTAATTGTATATGGAAAAGAGTTCAAATATTTTGTTTCTCACTCTCCTTCCAGCCACCAAAAAAAAAGAAAAAAAGTGATGAGTAAAACTCAATCATTCCATATTCTTAAACACAAATTCCAGCGACTTAACTGACACTGTAAGTCACTATATGATAGGATCTTAATTTTAGCAATGTTTGGCCATTAGCATTTGTTGCCAAACCTCATTTCCAGAAGTCTTTTGATGAAATAGTATTTATTGTCTCGAGTATCTTCATGTATCAGCAAGATCTTCTGCCTATATTGTGAAACAGTGTCTGTCCTTCTTCCTTTCCTCTTTGCTTGTTACATCTATTTGCATTGCTTCAGTTCTCTGGATGAATTTGTGTGAAAGGTACTGGTTCTCAGGCAGGTAGGTTATTCATAGTTTCACAGATGCTCCTAGTTAAATGAACTGAAACCTCTCTGAATAGAGAGCTCATCAACTCCTCCAACCTTGCACACAAACTAATGGCTATTTTTGCGTAATTGCCCCCTGCCCCAAGCTTTCTTGAAATCAGAGGTTTGCATGGCCATGGGTGGCCAAAGCTTGCAAGAAAATACCTTCTGAAAGTGACAGTGAGCTGAAAAATTACAGCTTCTAATGTGCAATGTAGCTTTCTAAGTTTAATTTATTATTCAGTATGTCCACCTCATGAGAATAATAAGGTCAGTCTTTGGTTGACAAGAGTTACATATTGACTAACAAAAATCCTCTTTCTTTAGACTTACGTGAAAAGCCAAGATAAGCAGTTTGCTGCAGCTACAATTCAGGCTATAGGCAGATGTGCAACTAACATCACTGAAGTGACTGACACCTGCCTTAACGGCCTCGTCTGTTTGCTGTCCAACAGGGATGGTAAGCTAAAGTTCTCTTTGTTTTCTGGGTAGCTGCTGGCATGAAACGTTTTCTTAGACAGAGCCAAACAAAGCTTCAGATCATGTCAATAAGCAAGAGTTGACTTCCATAAGAATTTGGCTGACACACTGGATAAAAATCCTACATTTCCAAAGGCTCTGATATTCACGGCATGGTTATTTTCTCTTCTGTTAGAGAAATTAATTTGGTGTGTCTCTCAATTACATGTTTACCTACTTTTTCTTAAAATGCTGTGATTATTAAAGTGTGCTGTTTTGATTATCGTAGATAGCAGTAGTTAAAGTTAAGTTGCATTAAAGCAGTTAGCCTGTAGAGGGTGCTGAAAGCTTGGAATTTTTTTTTTTGTAGTGCATCAATGCCTAACTGAAAACACATATTAAATAGTTCAGGATAAATGGTTCCAAATTTGGCTTGATTTTGTACTCTAGCATTCTGTTATTTTTGGATAGTGAAACAAAGTTTCAAATCACTAAGAAACACATCAAGGAGCAGATAAAGTCAAATAGGGTATAGCAGCGTGGTAATACCCAATAATATTGTATTTTCTTACTAGTTACCAATGAATATGGCACGTTCTTATTTCATAAGAAGTCAGTAATATGTGTTGATAAATAATGTCAGGAAGGAGCAAAAGCATGATTTTGGGATGTCCTGGAGCAGTTAAAGTAGTTCAAAGGACTTAGGTGACATTGCTCTCGGCTTTGGAAAGCAGTATTAATGCCTTGCTATATCTCCTGGACATATTTTTCATGGTAATCCTGAGAAGGCCTTTATTAGGGACATCATTTTGGCACTGCATATTTAGCCTATGACCCACTAATACACATGGAGCTTTCTCTTATTTGTTTTATGAACTGAGTTCTCATTCTCAACCACCTCATCTTGTATAAGAAATGCTTGAGTGGCCTCAGTGTATAGCTTTGTGTTTTTAATATATGTGACTTTCATTTCTTAGTGCTGTATTTTATTTCTGTTTATCAGCTGTGTTTAAAATATCTTCCCATGTGTTGCAAAGCCATGTCTGCACATTGCACTTTCTTGTATTATATTCAGCAACAACCATAATAGAAACACAAGCATCAAAGGTTGTTCTTGATTTTTCCTGATTCTTCTAGCAATCTTCCTCTGAGTAGGCTTCCTTCAGCATGTACAAATCCCCATATTTCTTCTGTTTTAAATGAAATAATAAAACTGTCTCTTCAGAATACAGATTTTGTTACTTAACGATTCTTTCTGTTTTCTTGCTTTTTGTTTTGCTAAGAAGGAACCAAGATAAGAGGAGAAAGTTCTTTTCTTTTATCATAGATTGTCAATTTAATATTTTCTTCAGAGTGATTCAGTGTGTATATATATGTATATATTTATATACACACATATATGCATGTACATGTATACAAAGGTCTGTCTCAACAAGATTAGTTTTCATGTCTGTTTCTAAGTAGTTGTCTAGCAAATAAAATTATCTTCTTGTGCTTACTGTTCTGAAAGACTGCAAAGGATATATTGAGGATCTTTTAAACCTGGCAGCTGGCAAATTGCTTTACCATAGCTGCAGTATCTTTATTCCCTCTTTCAAGGAATGAATAGAGTGGCATAATTTACATGGTACCTTTCCCCATGTGGCAGGAAATTACCAATAGTCACAGCTTACTGAACATGAGAGTTTTGGCATGGTAAGGAAATAAAAAAGAGATTTAGCATAGTGTAGGAGAATAGCTTTGAGAGTCTTGGTTAATCTTGCCGTCCCCCAACTTCTTCCATTGAAGTATACAAGCAATCTGTTTGCTCCACTACTTCTTGTGTGGTCATTTGAAGCCTGGAAGTAGTCCTGCTGCTCTGTGTAACATGAAGCACAAGCTAGTAGGTCCAGCAGGTTCTGAGGTCTGTGACAACAGAGTCAGCTGTGCTTTCTCAGTACTGTTTTCTTATCATGAAGAATTCACTTGAGTGCAGAAGAGAGGTGCTTACACTAATTCTACCAAGACAAAACAGAATCCTGAAGAACAAGCTTATGGGAAAAGTGCCTTCTGATTCTATGTGCTTGTTTTGTAACTGTAGATACATCCCAACACTGAGGATATCTTGGCTGTATATGGCACAAAAGCTTTACAGTTAATCGTTCTGCAACTTGGGTGATGAGAAGCTGGGCATTGTTCCAGAAATAAGGCTTTGGGGATGTCAAGAACTGTTCTTGAAAATTTCTTTGCATGCTTCTAAGTGACTTAAAGTCAGATTTTCCCTCTTCAGGAAAGCTGTGATATGTGGGGGGAAAAAACCCAATAACATTTGAACTACAGAAGCACAACAGAAACTAGAAATTTCAGTGATGAGACACCTTCATGAATGATTATCATAAGCTAATTTTGACTGATTCCTGAAGAGACTGTTTTTGTCAAGCCATGTTGAGGACTGAGAATTATTTTCCTTCCTCATCTGCTGAAGGAAGGACAAAAAGAAGTTATTTTCTTTCTTTAGTGTGACATTTAGCATTTCACTGATGCATTTCCTTTAAGCAGTTGTATTGATAGTTTCAACTGACTGCTGGCCCCACTGTGACATAAAAGTCATTTTAGATGTTAGAGAGAGATGGGATTTTAGGAAGTCTGTTGTCTGTACTGCATGTACTAGAAATCATGCAGAGTTTTCTTAGATGGGTGACTTCCATTTTCCGTTGAAAGTTGCAGGTTGAATAGAAGCACGATTTTAGAATGTATAGCTAAAACATTTTTTGCCCTACAAATCTGTACAAAACCACAAGTCATAAAATTACTGGAACTGTTAATATATCCAGTAACTAGTACATATTTCTTATAATTACTGTTAGAATGGCATAAAAGAAAAGTAACTTCTAACATCTAGTTTATATGTATTAGTACGGTTTCTGAGACTTGTTATTTATGTTGTAAGGATTGAAAAGTTAACAACGTAAAAGCTTAAACTAGCTGCACCTAGTTCTGAAAAGCAGAAAACTGTGTGTGTCTGGGTAACTAGCCCTAGTTTTAGATTGCCTTTTAGCATTTTTAACCCTAGGAGCGTTGTTAGTAACTCTAATAACGGAATGATTTTGGTTAGAAGGGACCTTTAAATTTCATGTAGTCCAACCTTTCTGCCATGGGCAGGGGTGTGTTGCACAGACCAAGTAGCTCAGAACTCCATCTAGCCTGATCTTGAATGTTTCTGGGGAAGGGGCATCCACCAAAATGGCATCCTGTCCAAAACCAGTTGATGCAGTTTTGCTGCTTTTAGGAAAAGTGGTTATACAAATTGTAGACTGTGGATAAATTAGTCTTCACTCATGTGCTTTAGTTGCTGCAAAGGTAGGCTAATGTAAGTGAAAGAAAATTCATTGCAACATTAATAATTTCAAATGTTGTATTTCAGAATGATTTTTACCTTTTGAACGTTCTCTGGTAATATACTCCATGCTGAGATGATTTTCTGAGGTTCTGTTATAATGCAGCCAAATTCCCCAATTATGGAAAAAGTCTTTAATTTGGTTCTACAATTTACTGTCTGCTGCATTGTTAATTTTTTTGCATACATCATTTGACAAAATCAATTTAATTTGCTCTGTATTTTGACAGATACATTTGAGAAGTTGTCAGGCTGCAGGGTCTTCAGAGATTGTCCTTCTTAGTCAATTCCACATTGCTTCAAAATTGTTAAAAGAAACGAATATTTTTACTATGACTTGAAAATTGAAAATGCTGGTATCCCATGTAGAATTCTTTATTGATAAAGGTGTTCCTGATCAGATTTTCTGTGATTTTCAGTCTTTATTTTAAGTCCTTATATGTTATAGTCCTTTAGATATGCTTTATACTGTTTCAAAATTCTTGGGTTCATTTATCATTGCCTTGTATGGGCTTCCTCTTTGATAATTCTAGTAGGAGTTACATTTTAAAATTTTTTTACTGCACATTCAGAATGCCAGTTTTATCTCCCCTTCTAGTATTTTGCTGGAATTTTTTATGGTTTTGAACCTAAGTGTTTCTCTTTTATTCCTGCTCATTTTTGGGATCCTTTGTGTGCACAAAGTAAGCATCACAGAGTATGGGGTTTTATAACTATGCCAGTCCTTAATCTTAATCATACAAATGCATTTTGATAACGTTTGTATTTTTTTCCCCAGTATCTAGGCTTGTGTAAAAAAAATTAAAATACTAGTTTAAAATTGTTTACATAGTAATTAACAATTTGTTTACAATTCTGGTTTATTTTCTTTAAATTTTCTCCCACAGATAGCATTAAAGTAGTTCCTATGGTGACATCTCATCTACTGTAGTTGATATTACCATAGTCAGTTTCACATTGTCAACAAGTGTTTTTAATAATGATTTCATGTACATTCATTTTTTTGGGTTCAGGTTGGTTTTTTTTAATTATTCAGTGTATCACAAAATACTGAATGGTGAAAGTTGCCATTCCAATGTTCTCCACTATAAACATTCCAGATTGTAATTTTCAAGTTTCAAGAATTGGCTTCCTATTTTAATACGTGGCAAAATACAGTGTAAACTAAATTGATCTCTAGGATTGTGCAAGACCTTGAAATGTTAACCTTGCTTCAAGAAATTAGTCTAAAAGAATGACAGATGTCATGTCAAATAAAAGATGACACAAAAAGGTACAAGCCAAAATTTAAGCATTTCAGAGGCATATGGCATAATGATATGCTCAGAGCTCTTGGGAAGCCTTCTTCCATAAAGTTTGCTTTCTTGAAAAGAAGAGAAAACAACAAGAAAACCCCACAACCCCATAGAATTTAGACATCTCTTCCCCATACTGTTCTATTGAAACTTGAACATGCTTGATTGCAAATGAATGGTCCATGTGTCAGGTTAACTCAGAGAGAAATGCAGGAATATCTCTTTTTAACAAATGGTAGTCAGGCTTCTTCATCTGTCCTTACATGAGTTTACTCTTGCATGGGAGCTTGACTCTGCTCATGTGGGGTCTTTTCAGCTTCAAAAACTACATTTCATACAAGTTGATCAGGTTGTAAATGTTACTTGTTGCAGTAGCTGAGCACTCCAGTGCATGACTGGCATGAATCTTAAAACAGCTTGCTATTTAGAACCGTCACTTGAATGTACTAGAGATTAGGTTACAGACCTGAGAGCAAAATTTAGAAAACATTTAGAAAAAATGCAAAGGAGATGTTTAGCTATTTCTCTAGTGTATGAATGAGCTGTTACTTTTAATGCAAGCATTTTTATTTTCATTGCAGACTGAAAATTACTTTTTAATATGCATAATTTTAATGAAAATCAGATTTATTTTTTTACACTGTTCTTCAGTTTTATAGGAAAAATACACATTGCAGCTCCGCTAAAAAACTGTTCATACAAGTATGTACTTGATCGGTATTTTTACGTTTAGAATGTTTGTGTCCTATTTTTGCTGGCTGTAACTTGGTTCAGGAAGCTGAACTTATATTACTTAGTAGAACGGTTTACCACTTTCTTACCAAATAAATATAATTCAGTTCTGCAAAGCGTACTGGGAAAGCTTTTACATCTTTTACAATCAATTATTTATGGCTTTTTCTTTTGCGTAAATGCTTTTAAAATTAATAATCTGTTTTGTCTAAAACAGAAATCGTAGTTGCTGAAAGTGTTGTTGTCATTAAGAAACTGCTGCAAACCCAGCCGGCACACCATGGTGAAATTATTAAGCATATGGCCAAACTCTTGGATAACATTACAGTGAGTATTTGTTCACACTCTCTTATTTGCCTTGTCAACTGATAATGAGATTTTTATCTCCTTCAAATTTGTGCTGTAAATGGAAGTAGGTATATTAGAGAAATGTGAAACATTTTTTTATTTTTGACAGAAAATATAATTTTTCATGATCTTAATGGAAAGGAAATGGAAGCTATCAGGTGGCTCCAATTTGTGCCTTAGGTCTGGGAAGAAATTTTTAGAGAGATCCCTGAAAATGTAGTTTATTGCTAGTCCTGTTACTCAAGGATGAATAGCAGGTTTAGAATATGGAGTGGGTAAAATTAAAATGAAAATAAGAGTTAACTTAAGGATGATTAGCCAGTTGTCTTTGTGATCTGGAGTGGACTTCAAAAGTTTTGTTTTAAATCTTTTTCCCCAAATTTCCTGAACTTTCCGTGGTATCAGATGTGTGTGTGTGTGCTGTGTGTTGCAGTGTCTTGAAACTGCATTTTTATCTTCTGGGTATTTGAAATTTTGTGATATTTAACATTAAAATTTGAATCATTCCCTATTACCTGTCTTTAAATTTAATTGACCTTTAGGTATGCAAATACTTATTTCCCAAATTCTCCTCACAGGCCCAGTAATTGATAAAATATTTAGTTACCTGTCCTAAATTAGAGCATAGGGATGATGTCCAGTAGCAATCTATTATATCCTAAACCCAAGGTGTCAGATTTCAATCTGTCAACAATTATTTTTCTGTAGACAATTGTTTAATTTCATAAAATTACACAATTTTTGATAATGGAACTGTTTCTAAATCAGTAAACCTTCATTTCTCCATAGCTGAATTTAGCAGAGTTTGGAGTATTAAAAGAAAACATGGTATTCTTCGTTCATGCTTACTGCAAAATTAAATAAGAGCTGATGATCACTTTGTAATGGATATAAGGAAAATAAATTCTAAATACTAAATTACTCATACCAAAATGAGATACTGTTGCTGATTACTTATCAAAATAAGTAATACCTCATGTATAATAATCACCTGTATTTACGAAAATTTGTGCAGTGTTTTGATGGATTATTACAATCTCAAAAATAATGTTCTGGCACTTAACCAAGTGAGTTTGGCATCTTCTTTCCACATACTCTACAAGAGAAAATAGTTACTTTTCCAAATTTTCTGTTTAAAACTTAGAAGAGTTTTGTAGCTATTCTATACAATTACTTTAAAGTAAATATTCTAAGTTTTGTGGAAAAGAAAATCCTTTTCTAAGTCACGTAAGGGGGAATGGGGAGAAGATATGCTGTTCTTAAGCTACTTTAATATTCTCAGGTTTTCCAAAGTGATCTTGTATAGAATATCAGAAAACATTAAGTAGTAGCAGAACAGTAGCAGTCATTGGAATAAAGCAAAAATCAAAATCTAATTCTAAATCATGGCTTTTATTCAAGAGAAAGTAAGTGTTGGTCAATAATTACAGTCATGTAGTCATGAACCTACAAGCAGCTGTAGGTTCTCCAAGATGATTGTTCTACCTCTTTCAATGACATTTTTAAATGATAACTTCAAGATGCATATCTTTCTTGGTATGCTCAAGACTTTGAATTAAAGAATACCTTGTGAAGAAGTTTATATTTATAATTTGAATGCTGTATCATTTTTCTGATTGTCCCTACTGTGTCTGAAAATGAATGTATTCCTTTGAAGACTGATTTGGATTGGGAGGGACTTGTAAAGATCATCTAGTCTAAACCCTCCATTACTTAATTCTGTAAAGGATAAGTGTATATATTGCAGAATGAGTATTTAATTACTGGGGATATTAGTTTGTGATGTCAATACTTAATATGGTATTACTGGAGTTCCTGACATCTGCACTTGTACTTTAAACATTGATCTTAATATGGCAAAATTGATTGTGAGTTGACATAACACAGTTGCCTTGGGTTTTGTCTGCTATAAGATAGAGACACAGATCAAGGATTCCTGTCCATTGTGCTGACAAACAATATGCATACATACATGCATGTGTACATACTTACTTTGCACAGGGCTTTTTGGCATTTTGGTTGTATTTTTTTTCTTGACCTCTCTTCTGTTGTTGTAAAGTATTAGGGTTGAGGCATAGAGGACCTACCCTTTAACTCTGTACAGGAGCATACCACTGTTTTTAAAGGACTCCTGTATTTGGATGTAGGAAAATTGATGTGGACTAGAGTGGACGTGAAACTGAAGGGTGGGGTAACAAGGAAATTCTGTGTTGCTTTTTAGAGCTGAAATTAGTTTACTACTATGTATTACACAGATAAAAGCATGAAGAGGAAATTCTTAACAGAATTAAATACTATTAAATCAAAACCCTTAAGGAAAAAGTAAATGTTTCTATTGTTCTGCCAAGATTCAGTTCAAGTCAATGGTAAACAGCCATTAAAATAAGCAAAATTGGTGTAAACTCAGTGGAATAGATTTTTGGATTTGTGCCTGATTTTTTCTCATCTATATTTTTATAAAATTCACTTGTGCTAGCCTCAGATTGTGATTGGCAGTGATGAGGTACCTAAAATCTTTCACAGCAATGTTTTTTTCATGCCGTTTACTTTACTGAAATATACTTGTTCTTGTTTTCATCTTCTTCATCCACAGAAGCCATTTAGAAAGGGGTGGGATATAGAATATTTAGAAGATAACAATTTTGCCTTGTAAAATAAATTAAAGCTAAATAAGAGGAAGCTAAATATTAAGACCATATATAAAAACATAGTAAGACCAACCATAAGAAATACTAGGAAGTTCACTTAAAAAATACTGAACTCCTGTAGATCACTGACTCTAAATTATGATAAAGGCTAGGTTTATTTCAGTTTGTCCTTTGCTTTTTTCTAACATATCTGAAAATACTGGTTATTTTTGGTTTTTTTGTGTGTTTTCATTTGTGCCTTAAACTTTTATCCCAGGTGTGCCCAGGCAAAGCGCTATGAGATCTATTCTGTGTGTGATACTTGGTTGAGTACTTAGACCTGTGCATAGTACAGCTTGATCTAGCTGTGTTGCAGTTCCTTTCCTCACATCCTTCAAAAGCAGTAATGGAGAAATACATGTCTGATGGTGTCCTGAAGACAATAAACAAGAGAATAATTGGATCTCTTTAAGCTTCCACTTTTAAAAATCATGAAAACATTTCCATTTAGCTGTCAATGTGTTAAAAATGTTGTCATGATTTACAGTTGATTGACTTGCTAAGCTGTGGGCCAGAGATTGGAGTAGTGCTCATTTGTGTTAGTTATGCTCTCTGAGGTAGGTTTAATTAGTTTTGTGTGTACAGTTTTTAGAGTGATAGAAGTTTAAAAAGTATACTTATGGGAAAGAGCCATTTAAAGAAGGGTAAGTTCAAAATATGTCTTACGAGTTTCATCTCCAGCAGCAACAAAAATCTTTTGCTTTAGGGGGAAGGGCTTTAAAGGTAAGAGAAGTACATTGCGGTGCACCTCCAATATATCTTCGCATCTGATTACTGGAAACTTCTGTTTACTGTCCACATCATCACACTTACTAATCTAAAAATTTGAATTTCTCCTCATATTCTATATCTCTGATCAGCTATTACCTCTTCTCTTTGCCTTTTCTTAATGTGTGGGTTTTAAAGTGGGGTGGCGAGAAGTGTGCACGGTTGTCAGATACACTGGAGAAGTCTTACATAATGACGTAGTGATACTGCTTGTTTTGTTTTTTGTCTCACTTTCCTGGTGTTGCCTGCCTTTTGACTTCTACAGAGCACTGATTTAACAGCTCTACAACTCTCTGAAAACATTGTGATTCCAAGATGTATTTTTCCTTAGAAATACTTTGGAGTCCATCAGTATGTACAGAATATGTTTTTGCTTCCTGTCCTTAATGTTCCAAGGCCAGTAGTCTCTGAATTTGTTTCTGCCTTTCTCTTTTTAGAAAAATAATTTATTATGGTATATTGTATCCAGTAAGGTCTGCTATCTGGGTGATAGGAACACTGACTTCCAGTGTGATTTTTCTCTTACAGTACTACTAAGGCAGGGTTTTTTTCTTTTGATAGCTGGTGAATTCTTACATTCTTGTTTTTAATTACAGACTTATTTCTAGTTCCTTCTAGAATATGAGCAAGAATATTAAACAAGTCTGAAGGGTTTTCTGATCTAAAGATGAGGAGGAATATTTCTTGATGGGATAAGGCATTGCAAATGTAGAGCAAAAATAAGAAAGTGGTGTGTAATTTTGAAGAGCTTAATATGTGAGGAAAATCATGTCACTTATGGACAAAATTAAGTGTTATCATTTACTGTTTTTGATTGGGTTTACAAGAGTAGTGGTCTCACAGTTTTTAACACTGCTCTGTGTTAAACTTGACTTACTAGTCTTACATAAATGATGCTTGTGTTTCTGATATGGCTTCACAGAACAGGCAGCTTGCTTTGTTTAATTTAGTTCTCCTTTCTTGCAGCTCTTGCAAGGTATCACAAAGTATTACATCCATATCTTTCTATGTATTTCAGTTCTGCAAGCTTCAGATTCTAGTTATGTTCTTTTACCTAAGATACACTTTAATAAGGCATTTTTAAATCTTAGTTTTAGTAATGGTTTAATGAACAATTCTCATAATTTGACCGTTTTTTTACTGGCTCTGATATCTATGTGATTGTTTAGAATTTGACAGGAATATGTAGCCTCTGGGACATTATGTCCAGGGACACTGTACCTGAAGCAAATATTCTGCTTGAATAAAACGTAATTATTTTAAAAATCCGTACACTGTGTAAGAGGTGCAGTCACTAGTAAAAATTCTGTTCTAAAGCAATTTTATATGTAGAAGAGTCCTTGAAGGTCTATCATTTGAAAACAAAAAATGATTTTTCTTTCACTCTTATTCTTAACTTTTCTTCTTGCTATCAGTCTTACATTTGAAATTAACTTTATCCCTCTTTCCGTTTCTGTTTCCAAGTAAAATTTTACAAAATTGCGACTTAAGCAAATTTTCTTCTGGATGGAGAAAATTGCACCTCATTTGCAATTTGTATATCTCTCATTTTGTGACAGATGTGAATAATCAAAACTGGTGATTTTAAGTTGTACTTTATCCTTGTTTTGTGTGAATATATTGAGAGCTGAACAACTTCTCAATAGTTTTTTAATTGTACTGCTTAGAGCAATATATAAAGTCTTTATAATATCTTTCTCTAATTGTTGTAAGTAACCAGAATCTTGCTTTGAGGGGAGTGTCTGGCTGGTTTTTTGTTTTTCTTTTTTAGCCATTTATTTATTTTCCTTGAGACAGGTAATGGGTTGAAATGACAATAGAAACTGCCTCCTGGTACTAAAGGCTTAAAAAGTGCACTTAACCACTTGCTTGGGCCATATGGAATAAAACATCAGGCAAAGTAATTTACAATCCTGTTTGCCTTTGAGGATAATGCAGAGCAGAGCTGAATAATGAAAGTATTATTTCCTGCATTTTTGTCAATTCAAGGTCCCTACTTAAGCTATACTGGAAAAGGCAGTGAAGGTCTAGAAGGGGCTTTGTTTCTTCTTTGCTGTTTTGAGTGCCCTGGAAACAACAGCTGCAGGATCATGCACTTGATATTACATCCTTGAGAACTGGAAGACTTAAACAGGGAAAAAGAAGTCTGAAAATATTGTGTGATTTTGACCCCAAATGAATCCAGTGACACAGAAACATTGGGTTCATCAGTTCGACATACACTTTTCATTAAAATGGCTTCTGCTCAGTGTTTGATTCAAAAAGTCTCTAATTGGTATTGATTCTTGTGGCACAAAATTGTGTTTAATATATATGCAGTATTTACATGGTAAGCTATTCACCTGGTTGAAAGGCAGAATCTCACAAGAAATTTCTGTCTTCCATTGTCACTATTTTTCAAATGAGGCTTTGTTTAGTCTAATTATTTAGCATTGTAAAACTTGTTTATTACTCTAATAATTTAATTTTACAAACTAGGAATAAAACTTGAAGAGCAAAACACTGTGCTTAAATGCATACTATTTAAATATGTTTAAATACATTTCATTGTGGTTTTGAGGTGTTGGCCTGGGCTTGACTAGGAAAAGTACAGTAATGATATTTGCATGTCATTATTAATGCTGTTACTGAAATTGATCTGCTCTGTGCTATTTTTGCTTTATAAAAAGACAACAGTATGGAAAGGAATATTCCTGACAGGCTGTTGCCCAAACTATGGTACTTGGTGATCTCTTGTAGAATTTTAGTATTTTAACAAGTCTGTAATGAAATATTTTAGAAAAATAAATCTAATATAGCTATCATCTGAAGTTGCCTATATATTCTTATTTAGAGGTATCTATCTGTACAATAGGCAACTTGAACTGCTCCAATACTGGAAAATCTAATGTACCACTCAATTACTATTCTTTAGCCCAATTTAAAATAATAGATTGGGTGTGAGGTCTTAATGCAGTGTAACCTTTGGAACATTAGAAATAACCTCTTTCCCTTTTGAAAATCAGTGTACAGTAATGGCATCAGTCTTACCATTTTGCAGATGAACATACTCTGACTGCATTTAAAGTTTTTATACGAAGTATAGAAAGTAGCTTGTTCATCTCTCTCATACTGTAAATTCCAAGGCTATTTAATTTTTTTGACAACTCACATAAAAGAATTCATCTGTATCTTAATCAGTATTTACATCTATATATATTTATATATGTATCTATATATATATATAGATGTTAAGTGACTGTGTTGTGCCACTCTCAACATATTATGTTATCTTTATCTTAAATTTCTTTCCCATAGCCAGAACTGGCCTTTATCTCTTACAGGACTTTTTGTTCTTGTTGTTGGACTCTGTATTCTGTTTATTCATGATATGCTATTCTTTCAGTGGAGGCAGTCCTGTTTTCCCCATGACATGCCTGCTTTCTGTTTCACTGGGGGCAGTCCTCTTTTTTCTCCATGACGTTCCTGTTTATATTTTTGTTGGCATATATATTTGCAACCATGTCAAGTACAGAGGTGAAAGTGTCAAGTTGACTTCAGAGTTGTTCCCAAACTTTTTGAAGCACATTTAATCATTAAAAATGCTTGTGAATGTGATTAGTATTTCCTTAGTAGGCTTAGTGAGCCATTTTACCCTTTTAGAATATACTTTCATAGGTAGTACTTTCAAATGTTATGAGAATACTTCGTAAGATACTTAATAGTTGGTTCCCATTACAATTCTGAAAATAGATACTCATATATTAATAACAGACATTCTGGAAGAGTAATTAAAGCATATACAAAAGTTACTAAAAATAAATGCTTTGAGAACCACAATGCTGCATTTCTAAAGCATGTACATCTTGTGAATCTTACCTAAGGCAAACCTCACCTTGCCATTAGTGTAAGCTTATTAATAAAGATCACTGTGTAGTGTAAGGACTAATAAAAAATGTTAGTATGAGTGTTTTTGATCCTTTCAGAAAAAACAATAAAATTAGCTGAAATTGCAGTGGAAACTTTCGTTTTTTCTAAAATACAGTCAGTTTTTTGATTGACTAGAACAGTTACTCTTTTCCCCTGACATTTCAACGTTTGTTGAACAGGAGTCTGTACAGGATGTTTGAGCACCATAGTCTGTATACACTATACAAGACTGCTTCTGAACTTTCTCACTGCATTCTTTCTTCCTTCTGCTCAAGGAAGAGAAAAATGTTTTCAAAAGGTGTATGTAACACAGATGCAGTTTTTAACTTGACCACCAGGTAACGTAGGCTAGCTCATCTTTTACAAGAGTATGTGTATATTATTTCATTTAAATCTTACTGTTTCTAGCTGAACTGCATGGAGCATGAGCTTCTGTTTTCTTCTGTGCTTCTCCATTTTGCCTTACCTCTGTTCTTGGCATTGCTGTGCTTCTGAACTTGGCATCACAGATTGGGAGTTCATCTAAAAGCTGCTACTGCCAGTTATTTCAGTGATACTGTTGAGTAACTCCAAAATGGTAAGACCTGTGTGAACTTCTTGGTCAAAGCTTTTGGTGGATCCTGTGCAGAAATTGTGAATTGCTATTTTGAACGTCTGTCTCACCAATATTCTGAGTTCAGCTGGTCTTGGACATTTGCAAAAAGACAAATCTTATTGTCAAAAAATCCTGAATAAAAATGAAGGAAAGCTAGAAATAGCCTTAAAGAAATCCATACACTTGTAAACTAGATAAGCAGGATTTGAGAAATTTGTATTGTTGAAAAACATTTCTGTATGAGTGTAATAAAAAAAAAAAATCACTGTTTCGTTTCAACGCGGTGTTTACCATAATCTGGTGGCAGGAATTCACAACCACATCTTAAGGGTTTGGACTGTGTTCCCACAGTCTCATGATCTCATCAGCTTGTACTATGAACATCAACATGTCACTTCAGTGTGCCTCTGTATCATCAACCTGTAATGCATGGGTTTTGGGTCAGAATCAGTACCTTACATGTGTATGAATATTCAGTCTTCCACAGTGGCTGTATTTAATTTCATGCTGCATTTGTTGCATGGCAGTTTATCTTTTAATAGTATTTTGTTTAACTTGTTATTGAACACAGACACATACAAGTATGCTAGTCTTTGTGACTCTGTTAACTTAGAGTGCTCAATGTTTTTTCAGGTTCCAGTAGCCAGAGCCAGCATTCTCTGGCTCATCGGTGAGTACTGTGAACGGGTTCCAAAGATCGCACCTGATGTTCTGAGAAAGACAGCCAAGAGCTTCACAAATGAAGATGACCTTGTGAAGTTGCAAATCTTAAATTTGGGTGCAAAACTCTATTTAACAAATTCAAAGCAGGTAAGCCTAAACTCAGTATTGTATGTATTCAGTCATGGTGGGTTTTGTACAGTCTGTATAGATCAGTAATGATTTCTTCTATATAAGTAACCAAACCTAGTCTATATTACTCTATGAAGAAAAGCTAAACATATGTTGTCAAGAAATATAACAGACTAAATCTAACCATGAGTTTTTAAGTGTGTGCTGGATCACGAATGCTAATGTAGTGATGAGATAAACTCTTTTTATCTGTCTCTGGGAAAGTGTGAAATTTTAACTTCACATAAATAGAGAAGATCTGTAAATTCTGTTAGTAATTTAGGAGATTTTGCTGATGTGATGCAATGTTTTCTCAAGCCAAAACCAGGACTTTCAAGAAAATTCTGTCACTTTGAACAAGAAGCTGCGCACTTTTTTGTTCAGGATATCTAAAAGGGCTTGTTTTGTCTTTCCATCAATACTCATTCTAAAGATAGTAACTGCTTTCCCTTCTTTTGTTTTATTTGGTTGGTTGGTTGGTTTGATTTACTTTTTCCTATTTCCTTTTACCTGGGGGAGTGGGTGAGTTTTAATATCTCTGGTAGTAAAAATAATGTGAAAATTTCAGATAACACAAAGAGGTGAACTTAGATCTCCAAGCAGCTGAAAACAACAGCTATGAGAGGTGCCAAGTGCCTCAGTCTTCTAAGTGACATCACTGTGAACCCCATTCCATGACTATAGCATTTTGGTATTAATTTTTCACTGTAATGCCAATTATTGCTATAAAAGATTGTAAAATCAAAGATTTTTTTTCCAAATGTAGAAGAAATACATTGATATACATACATACATGCATATATATATATATATGTATTTATATGTGTATATGTGTGTGTGTGTGTGTGTGTATGTATGTATGTATATATGTATATATATATATATATACATATACACACATACACTTTCCTGGGCTGCTAGACCTCTTGTTTTACAACAGTTTGCACAGCACAGGATCTTGCACCTTTGCAGCTGTGATATCTGCTTGTTCCTTGATAGTTACATGCAACTACAGACATGATCTGTCTTAGACTTTTTGTTGTAAGGCATGTGGGAGATGAACTGTCTTGCCATGCATTCAGATAGGAGTGAATGCTTTGCTTATATGGTCTAAAATAGGGCAGTAATAAAAGGTGACTTCCCTCTGGCAGTGCTCATCTTAAAGAAAATGCTGACTGAGATAAGGAAAGATTTGGTTTGACTATCTAAACCCGTCTTCTTTTAGCCCATTATATTTATTAATTTTCCATACAATTTTTGTCATTTTGAATGTAAGTTTTTCCACACCGTATTTGGTCAAAAATCCATTGCATACAAGGAGATGATGACTTCTGTGATGCATTTTTTCCTATTGCACATCTTAATACATTTTAAATCATCATTGCAAGTGCTGCATAACCCTTTATTCAAACACAGTAATGATGATAAAGCAGAAGAAACAGTCTCCTGAGATGCCTACTAAATAATGAATTTCATCAAAGAGTGTTTTCCTCTTGCAGTTTTAGGTTGTGGAAAAATAAGTTATTATCTCAAGTGGTCAAGGTATTCACATAAAATTTCTAACAGTGAAGATTTGGTGACGTGGGTTGATTCAAAGTTCCTTTCAAACTAGAATACTGTGGGTTTTGCATTAGAGGCTGGAAACACTCTTTCCATATCTTCATGATTATTTCCAGGAGTAACTCTTCTTTACTAACTTAGTATTAAAATTACTTCCTGAAATGACTTCCATTCCTAAAAAGTCCAGCCATTTTTCAGTTTAATTTTTAAAATATGATGTCAAATATTGTAGACTTGATTGCTCTGTTGTCAGTCTGACCACCTCTCCTCAGTCCCATGTTTTTTGTCTCATATCATATCATATCATATCGTATCATATTTCATATCATATATGATATGATATATCATATCATAGTAATTTTATGAAAAATTCTTCAGTTTTATCCAAAGTTATTGGAGTTGTGAAAACCTCAAAGATAAAATTTCACTTTATTGAAAAGTGGTAGTAGAATGGCAGAGGGCACTCAGTGCTGACCAAATAGATGAAAAGAGCTCTTTCAGCAGGTGAAGGAAAGGCAGGTTGAACTCATCTGTTAAGTCTTGTTTGGAGAAAAGCACAAAGTTCTGGAGGAAATAAGACTTTCTTATTTTATTCCCTTTTTCTAAATACATTATTTTATTTGATTATGGTTTCCTCAAGTATATGGAGAAACAGTGAAGCACATTCACAGGAATGATTTTTAACATTCAGGATTTCTTACAAAAAATTAAAATATACTTTAAATCCTGAGATCATCTCATGAACTTTCAAATGCTATTTATAATTTAAGGAAGTTTCTGGTTCAGTTGTATCTGCATGGGTATGTATTAGAAGCAGGCTTCTTTCTGGTTGTCTGTATTATTTTATAAACTTGCTTTGTTTTTTCAACACTTAGGGTCATAAAACCTTGGATGTGCTAGATAGCTGTCTAAATGGAGCTTATATAAGAGAAATATGTCATATTGCCTTAGATATTTCTTGCATATGGCAGAAAGAATAAAGATATTTTGATGGGTTTCTGCTGTCTAATATAGTAGGTCTCCCACCAGAAAAAGTCCCAAGTAGTTGTAGGGTGTAAATAGATATGTCAATCGTGGTTTAACACAATTGCCTTATCTTGTGTGTCTAAAGAATCAGGTTACTAAAAGCTAATGATATCTAGGAGTGAATAGATAACTGTTTCTCCCTCACTGTAGAGCTTCATCTGTTGGTAAAACCTATATTGTAGAATTTTCAAGTAGGGATCTACCAAAAAATTAACTTCTGCTAATATAGGATAGGCATTAAATCCTTAAATAGAACTATTGTCTAGAACTAGAAAATTCTAGAAATGTTGCTGGAGGATGATTGTATTATAGAAATACTTAAACCTAACTCTTCTAGCCAAAACAACGTGTACAAAAAATAATAATGGGTTCAGCAGTATGAGGATAAAAGAAATTATATTATGCCTATATAATGTGCATGTCCAGATATCAGGAAATATTGACATATCATAATAAATGCATGAAATCACAGATCAGAATACTTTGTCACTATTCTAGGAAGCAGTCATGCTATGCAGAATCTCATGTTTCACCAAATCAGTGTGCTTGCTGAAATGATTTTCAGCTTCTTTTGAAAGCTCCTTTGTTGGAAAAACTCATGTGCATTCGTTAGTTTATTTTTTGTTTTCAATTAAAAATAATTGTTTCTATTAGCAACCTCCACGTAGAAAAGGTCTTCTGCTTGTTTGATTGCTTTACCATAAGACAAATTTTTAAAATTGCTTTTCCTCGCTGTGTCCATGAAAACTAGAGTGTATACGATAATTGCAAAGAGGTTGCTTGCAGACACAAAACATTCTTGCATAACAGTTTTTTGTATATTTTTCTGTATTGAACAATATAAAAATGATATTTTAGGGGACAGAAAAGGGAGAGGATCATGGAGAAAATTATTCCATTAAAGGAACTGTAATCTTTCAGGATCAACTCTATATCTGTCTAATTTGTCTTTAGGTAATTTCACCAACACTCACTGAAAAAATGCCCACTGTGACAAGGCCTTCAACTTTTCCCATCCCTATAGCAATTCACAGGTTAAGATCATCATGTTTTATGATCCATTCTCCTGAGCTTCCTGGCATGACAGCAAGGAGTCTTGTCTTGTTTTACAGTGGAGAAGTGATGGCAAAGGCTGCAGGAGGTATCCCTCATTTAGTTTAATTCATGCTACCTGGGAACCCTCCCTTCCAATTCCATTTAGATTGAGCAGCGTAAGTCCTGCATGAGTGCAGATTATGTAGGCTCAGTCTGATGCAGTTGTTTAAAATTTTATACCCTCATACAGAATTAGCTGCCAATAAACTGTGAAATACATATGGGAAAGTTTTGTCTTTCCCAGACCTAAGACAGTACCTCAAGTTAAAAAAAAAAATTCACAGAGTCACTCTTGGGTATCAGAGAGAAAAAAGAAACAAAAAATATTTCATTGGCAGTTTTTTTAAACTATGCTGTTATATTATTCTATGTCTAATTTCTTCTTCTCTTTGGTACCATAGGTTATTTTTTAAATGCTTGCATATGTTGCATTAATGGGGTTCAAATTGGAACCATTTTCTGTTTACATTTGTGAATCTCACTTACAGGAGTTAATCAGTATTCTGAAAAAGCATTTTTATGTCTCCAGAAGAAAACTTCAACTTGCATCCTCAAATTTGAAATTATTAATCTGAACTTTTTTTAAGCAAATGTCATATATAAAAATTGACTGATTTTTTGGACATATTTTTCTGCTCACAAGATTTAAACTCTGTTATTGTCATAGCAGGAGCATGATAAACATATATATACACAAGGTTGTTTCTTTGTATAAAGCAGATAAATCACTCATGATGATAGGTTTTTAACCCTGTGTTATGCTTCCATTCTGAGTTGGAGTACCAAAATTTACTTCATTGGGATGGTATATAATTTCTGCTCTTTTTCCTGTTTGGTTGCATATAAAAGAAGTGGCATACATGTTTCAAATCTAGTGGATTCCAGTCTATTCAGAACTGTTGTTCTGGTTACAGTACATTATTTCCATTTTCTATAGAAAAAAAATTCTATATCCTTCCTTTCTTACATTATTTTCTTAGCTCAAAAAATGATCTGAAGGTTTATAATTATTTAGGAAATGTTAATATTCTCAAACATCAAATTAGGAAGCTGTTATTATGCTGTAAAAACCTGTGATAGTATAAGTCACTCTCTTACATAAATAAATAAATGACCGATATTACTGAAGGCTTTAAGCTTCAAGAAAAAAATGGAAGAAGTCTTTTATCCTGGTTTTTAGAGGGCATCAGCAGCTTGCTTTTATGAAAAAGTAACAGCTAAATGCACTGCAAATAATTTGCAGTAATCCAGTTCAGTGATTCATGTGTCTGCTTTAATGGGTCATAATTCAGGATAAAGTAACTGAGTGCAGTCAGAGTGCAGACACTGCTTATGCCAGGGACAGTATCTCTTCATAAAACACACCTCAGCAGAAGCAGTTTGCCAGCCCCCTAATACCCTCTGATGTTTTGATGTCCTGCATATTTTTCCGATTAAGTTTTGAGTGCCATGTTTTTAGTTGTATTTCCACATTCATTATCCTCACGTAGACCCTTCAGCGGGTTTGCCATATATGATTATTTTTTTAATGATGCCTTTCTTTCCACTTCAGCAGTTTAATAATCTAGCACATGGCTGCTTCTCAGTACTCAGCATTCACCTCCCCAATACAGAAGAGGACATGTGCTTTGGCTGCAGAATTCCATTTGCAGCTTTAGAAATGCATATTCCCTGTGGAGCAACATTTGTTTGACATAACCATTCATTTTTATTACCTCTTTAAATATGTTTATCCAGAGTTATCAATAATCATAAATAACTTGTATTCTGTTCTTGTCCTGTTTTTTTCCACAGACAAAATTGCTTACCCAGTATGTATTAAATCTAGGCAAGTATGATCAAAGCTACGACATCAGAGACCGTACAAGATTTATTAGGCAGCTTATTGTTCCGAATGAGAAGAGTGGAGCTTTAAGCAAATATGCCAAAAAAATATTTCTGGCACAGAAACCTGCCCCATTGCTTGAGTCTCCTTTTAAAGGTATAACTGCCAAAATCATTTGGTAAATGTTCATTGTGTAAAGGAATGTGGCAGCTTATTCTATTTCAAATACTCTCACAAATTGTGTCACTTAGCAAATAGAAAAGATTAATATGCAAGGATGCTCGGTCTGCTTACTTGCTTTTCAGCAAGCAAGGTGCACAGTGCATTTCTTTAATGATAAACCCTGGCAAACTGATCTATTTATATTCATGTGGATTTTAAATTTTATTTAAGTAACAGAAGGTATGTCTTTTGAGGAAAACTATTCTTCAATTTAGGAAAATAGCTCTAGGATTTTATCTGGACTTTATTAGAAGATTTTTAATGTGAGTACTGCAAATATTATATGAATCTGAAGTAAACTGAATCTATGTAGATGTTTTTTCTCCAAAATCATAATTTTCCCTCTGCATTTTGTGTGTTGTTTTATAAGTAAGATCCATTGTCTGTCTTGTCAAATTAAAAGGTTATCAGGCTATCTAAATTAAAATTACTCTGTTATTGTGACAATTTGCTTTTTAATTTTCATACTTACTGAGGTCTAGTTTTGAAGCTTTAAAAAGAGCTCCATTTTGAAGAAAAACTATTAAAATTCTGGATGTGTTTGTGCCAAGACATGTATATGGATTGTTTAACTGTGCTGTCATTCTTAATATTCACAGTAAAGTAATTTTTAGAGAAGCTACATTTCAGAGCAACACCTCTAAACACACTGACTGATTAGCTTTTTTATTGACCATTATGGGGGAGATTATTGTAATCTATGGACTGAAATCAGTTTTTTGACCTATGAAGAGCTTCCTAGTTTATATTTATTCCATGACATTTGAGGTAATACAATGGCAATTACCTTTAGCCCTGATTAAGATTGCTCCTTGTGGTAGAGCTCACAATGTTTGTGTATTTCTTCCCTCCCCTGGCTTTTTTAATAGATCGGGATCATTTCCAGCTTGGCACCTTGTCTCACACACTGAACAGCCGAGCCACTGGGTACCTGGAGCTGTCTGACTGGCCAGAGGTGGCACCTGACCCCTCCGTCCGAAATGTTGATGTGGCTGAGTCGGTATGTCAGCATCACTGAAAGCAACTTTGCTGAAGGCACTTGTGAATACAGTGTATTAGCCCAAAACTACTACTATTTAAATATTATCTGTGGTCTGTTGAAATCCACTGATGCAAGGGAATGTCCCTTTTGCTTATTTTATCTTAGAAATCGAGCATTTGTAAACTTGCTTAATGCTAGTTCTTTTAAATGACAGAAGTGGATAAACTGTAGGCCACTTCTGCTTAATTTGTGGAGTAAGTAGGCCTTTTTCTTCTCCATCTCACTTTTAATTTCATATATTTCATCTCACTCTGCTGTAATATGTTAATTGGGTGTGGCTGGACTACCAAAGTCAGAAATTAAGAGGTTGGTTTGTGGAAAATCCAAGGCTAAAAAAAAAAAAAGCAAAAGGAAAAAGATAATACAAACAACAAAAGGCAGCTGCAGGGGATTAGATTATGGATGTTTTGAAGTTTCAGGTTTGAAAGAGATGAGGGTTTACATTTCAGATAGTCTGAAGAGCATTAGGAAAGTATGTGATAGGAAAATGTCATCTATTAGTGCACTAATCATGTGTTGACACATCGGGCTCATCATCTGTTAGCAATAGCTTTTTGTTACGTAGTGTAAACTCCGAAGCAAAGTCATGTTTTGGTACCAGAGTTGTGATTTATTTATCAGGTACCAGAGTCCTACTGCAATGCTAGTGAAAGCTGTTGAAAATAGCTGAAATGTAATTGTATTGGTATATAGTGTGCTGATGGTGCTCCTGGAGGCATGGCATTGTAACAGATACATACAGAAAAGCATGCAGTCCTGGTAATGAGCCAACTTTCTCAGGAAATCATAGATTAATTAATTTGTTTATGAGATGTTACACACAAAGAGCAAGAAAATGAAAAAAATTGGTCTGACTTAGAGAAACCAATGGTCAGCAATCTGGTAGAACAAGCATTTCTCCTTAGTACTGTAATATGTCTACCTTCTTACATACATTTCAGGAAAAGTGCTGTTTGTGGACAAACTATTGAAAGCTTTTATGGGAAGATTTTTAGATAATCAGCTCAAACAGAGGATTATAAATTACAGGGTTGGCATGGAAGGACATGTGGAGGTACTATCATCCATAAGACCAAAAGTACTGCAAGAAATTGATAAATGGAATAACAACATAGTAAAAAAAGTAAATAGTAAAAAAAATCTACCTCCAGCTGTTTAAACCTCAAAGCAAACAGGAAAATCTTTCAGCCATGTTGGGGTTTTTTTGCAAGTATTTTCTTCGGAGGGTATGTCAATTTCATTAATTTTGTGGATTCCCTAATACTTCATGTGCCTACGGAGCATACGTGAGTAAAGCTGAGTTAAGCTGCAATCCACATGCAAATTATCATTGTCAGCCAAAAGAATATTGGCTTTTTAAGCCTTAGAAGCTTCTGCTGTTTAAGAAGAAGCCAGTGTGTCTCTAGAGTTGTTTAGCCTTGCAGGTCATTGTTAGAGCCTATTTCAAAACTTAAGTCTTATTCCAGATGAGATCAGTCAATGAGGCAGACCTGTATCACATGGTGGATAGAGTTGTCTGCCAGTTTGTTTTTTTTCTCCTGTCCTGAATTTTAACACTACTTCTATAGTAGCATAGAGGTATATGGAGAAAAAAAAGTCTGGGGAAAATACTGCCTCATTTTGGCATTCTCTTGGTGATAAAAAATTACTTTTATTTGGAGAATTGCAATGAAAATGAAATAAAATTTGTCTTTGTCTACCTAGAGTGTCTGTTTTCTGCTTAAAACTTAGGATGATAAAGGTGGTGACTAGCCCTATTTAACCTTCATTCTAGTCATAGTCAGCTGGATCCAGAAATAAAACTTTCAGACCTAAGGATCTTTTGGCATAGAAATTTATTTATCATTACTGATGCTTTTAATCTACCATACTAAATCTTTTTCTGGACTACCTAATAGACATCTTTCACCTTTTATAGGTGTATATACCAAACTTCTAGTTCTCCTAATTGTATAAAGTAAGAGAAGTTTAATAGCTTCTCTTGACTTGCTTAGATGATTTATTTAGCAACAGTTTAATACCACAACTCTGAATTTTTATTCAGTGTGTTGTGTATATATTTTTGTATTGCTGTTTGCAAAAGTAAACTTAAATTGAAATTTATTTACAGGCAAAGGAATGGACTGGAATTCTAGGCAAGCCAAAGAAGGAGAAACCTACTGAAAAGTTCTACTCTGAATCAGAAGAGGAGGAAGATGAGTCTGCCAGTACCAGTTCATCAGGTAAGTGTTTGGAAAGCACTGCATTTTCACTGCCTGGAAAACTGTGTCTTCAGAACTGTCTGGTACATAAATAGAAAAAAAATTGCAAACAAAGCCACAGCTGTATATATACTCAATAACTATGGGGGAAAATTTTATGTTCACTATATTAAATAAGTTAGTCTTTGATTTGTTTCCCAGGTAAAAAAGCTGGCATGCTATTTTTATCTTCCTTGGAGTCTAGTATGAGTAAGGAGAGTTTGTAACTTATAGCTGAAAGCACATAGTGGTTGCAGGAGAAGTGCCCAGATGCTTGGTTGTCAGGAACCTTAAATTTTAACGGTTTTTTGGAATTTGGTGGTGGTGAAGAATTGTTTTGATATCATGTGCCACTGTGCTGATAAATGGCCAGATTAGTTAAATCGTGTATTCTTTCATGAGATTTATTCAGCAAATTGTGTTACAGTATTTCTCTGAAGTTCTGCATAGTGTTTTCTGTTTATTATAATGGGGATATTGATGAAGAAGGTAACCAAGAAGCTACCAATCAAGTTAAGTAAGCAGAGGTTCTTTTAACTGTTCTTCCATTTATTGTCAGATGGGCAGTCCCCCAAGACATCTGTTTCAGAAGATGTTTGTATATTTCAGATGTAGTAAAGTCCATAATTCTCTCAGGGCCAGACCTTAGACTTGAAAGAATTATTATCATCGAGTTGAATGGAAGAGGGACATCTTAAACTACAAACATGGAGCTCCTTCCTTCCAGTTCCTAAGCTGAGGAAATATACAAAAATGTTTAAGAATTGTATCACTGAAATTAGTGATTTCTGAGGTAATAGAAACATACTTACTTCAGATATTTGAGTATTTGGTATCTCTGTGATTGATTAGTGGATTAATAATTTGTTTAAATCAGTGATTCAATCATAGTCACTATGGGTATTTAAGAACAGATTATCTAATTAAGCAACTGTTTGAGAAGATAATTTTGCAGCTAAGTGAATGTAAAGACTAGAAAATTTGAGGTCATCTCCAGCTCCTAATAAGGTTATGTAACTTTGAAGAATCTACATGCAATTAATTTATTACTCAAATTTCTAAGTTGAAAAAGTATAATACTGTAGGCTGAAGAAGACAGGGTTTTAACTAACAAAGTTTTGTGCATATATGGGGAAAGTAATTCTCTTCCATGCTTTTGGCACAGGGTAGATAATACTAAAACTTGCAGCTGGATCTTAAAATAGCAAACCATTGTCTAATTTAAAACAAAATTGGATTTCTAAAATACCATTTAAGTATTAAGTACTATAAATTATTTAAGATATTTAGATCAAAATTGTAAGGGTTATTTTCATTTCAGGGAGTGGGTCTGACAGTGAAAGTGAGAAGGAAGATAAAGAGGAAGGCAGCACTGATGAGAGTAGTGGGAGTTCCTCTCCCAGTGAGGAATCAACTGACAGTGAATCAGACAGCAAAGAAAGTGCTGCTAAGAAAACATGTAGAGCTGTCAATGAAAGGTAGGTATATGTTTGTCTGGCTTTAATTTTTTGTGATACTATCTTATAAATCACTCTTCCTGCTAGCAGACTGCCAAGCCTTTAATTAGGCTATTTTGGGCATGTTTTGGTTTAGGAGTGATGTCAGTGTATACTAGTTAGTAATAGTCAGTATATGAACCTAGTTCTTACTTTCATTAATCAGACTACTCTTACATTTGGAATTAATTTCTGACTTCAGTTAAATCTTGGGTGGCTTGTTGAGAACTGATATAACCTTGGGAGGCTGAATAAGTGATCAAATAGTTGTGTGAAACACTTAATTACCTTTTGCCGCAATTTTGCTGAGAGCTAAAATTAAGTCCTTCAACACTTTGCCATTATGTAACTAAGACAATTGATTTTTCTAAATAATGTTATATTAAAAAGATTATGATCCAAATATTAGAGGCAAGGGCTGTGAAGGGAAACGGTCATAAGATATTTAAGTGTTAGCACTTTTAAGATTGCCTATTATCAACAGCATTATCATGTGTTAAAGTATCATTAAAATTTTGAGTAATTGGGGCTAATACCTTGGATTGTGTGAATCTGTTTCTTCCACTGCTGTCAGCAAGCGGCCTCTGCAGACACAGTCGCCCTTTACTTTGTAGTCTGCTGCCAGCTCACTTGATGAGTTTGCAGCTCGGCTCAGTCGTGGCTGACAGCACTGATTGGGGCGCAGTACACACTCTGCTCCTTTTATTACAGACAGTAATTAAAGCAGCTCGCCTTGCCACTTCCATAACAAACACAGCATAATGCCCTAATTATGACTTTATTAATTTAAGTCAGGATTTAATGATTTTAAAAGTGATTTATATTGTTTTTCCTGTTCAGAACAAATGAAATCTGTAGGTTAAATTAATACAAGCTTTTCATCATCGCAAAGTTAAAAAGCTAGTTACCAGTAAATTCTTTTCATTAGAATAACATCTGAAATTTTAAGCAGTAAGATAAACAATTATTACCCATCAAAACTGGCTGATGTGCAGTAAAGTAACATTTTTAATCTTCAAATCTAGTTTTAAAGCTAAGCTAAAGATAAATTATTGAAAAGCAACTTCATTTGTATAATGGGTTCACAACAACTTATTTGTTAATGCAACTACAGCTTCTGTTGAAAGGCAGAGAATGAAATATAGATAATTCTGTTGTGATGAAGAAACTTTGAACAGTATATAGTAGTGAATTTTTAAGTCATTGACCTCAAGTTTTTAAATGTTGTCCTACTGAAACTATTTTCAGTACCTATTTTTCACTGTGATTTTAACAATCATATATGCTACATTACACTGTTTTTGTGCACTAATGTTCCATTTTTAGCTTTGCAAGCTCCAAATGTGCTGCTTTATGCTTTTGACTAAAATTAGGGGAGGTAGTTTTAGGTTCAGTTGCATGAGTAGGCATGGCCTAAATGTTACTGATTTTAAATAATTTTGATTAAATTTTATTTAGACAATTCAGTCATAGGAAGTTCTTGAGAAGAGGAAGACTTTATTTTGATCTCTGTCAAGTTGGATTTTCATTCTCCTTCTCTGTATTTTTTTTATCTAAAAACATTGCAATCTGAAACAGTAATGCAGCATTGTGCATTCTTTTGTACTGCTCCTAAAGCTAAGCAAATACATGTAACAATTTAATACGAGTCCAAAAGGACTCTTAATAGTTGAGTGGTCTAGATTTGTTTAATTATTGTTGACCTTGTTACCCTTCAAGCACTTCAGTAACCAATTTATTGTCTTGGGAAGGGAGCTGAATCAGGTAGTGTATGAAACACCTGATTTGGAAGTCGTTTGCATATCCAAGAACAGAGGGTTTTTTCTATATGCAATATTAATTTTTCTGCTCCATGATAACTATTAGAAAACAATTTTCATTTCTTGTGGTAGTAACTCCCCCTGAGAAAAAAGGGTAATCTATTAATTGGTATTTAAAGTATTATTAGATGTGACCAAGGCAGATAATACTCAGTAGCTATTAACACAGACCAATGTAATCCAACAATGGTAGGGTGAACAGAACTTCACTGTGTGAGGAACACTGTGTTTGAAGTTGTAAGGGATTCAATATGACCAAAGGTGTAGGAATATAACAGCTCTTGTGTATAAACACTTTAATGAGTTGAGCTGTTTGTGGACATTATAGATCTTATTTCTAGGTGGTGTGGCTTTATTTAGAAGAATGAACAAAGGAATAAACTAAATTAATTGGGGATTTTTAAAGCAATATTACGGTAAAAAAGATGACACACCAAAACTCTGTTCCTCATAGGTGGAATAATATGAGAACATCTTTATTTAAAAGGGTGGCTGCACTTCTTCGTAATGTCACAAGCTTGATGCATGCAGATAATATTTTTAATATTCCATATATTCACATTTTGTTTGGCTTTTTCCACTGGTTTAGACTATGTGATGGTGTATTGTGTAGTGTAATAGAATGATTTTGTGTAGCCTTAAATAAACTATTTCATTTATAGCTGTGTCTTCTATTGTGGAGAAATAATGACTTAAAATTCATTTAGTAAAACTTTGAAATACTGATGTAGGATTTTGCCTAAGCAGATTCCTTTGGTGGTTTTACATATCTCTTAACATTTTTTTAAAATATGTAGTGATTCAGAGGATATTAAAAAGAAAGCAGAGGGAATTTCCAAAAAGAGAAGGACATCCAGTTCCTCTGATACAGAGTACACTTCATCAGAAGAATGTTCTTCAAGCTCCAAGTCAGAATCTGACTCTAAAAGTGACTCTGAGTCTGGAAAATCTAGAAATGCTTCCTCTAATAAGGTTAGTATGGTAAAACACTTTTTTTTTAAACCTCTATAAAATGTGGAAATGTGCATCTGACCATCCATCCATGTTTCTTTCTGTTGGAATGAAGATGGGTAGTAGTTTTATGCATACCTAAATAGAATTTATGAAAAAAATATTTTTACTTTTCATTGAGAGACCAGTCAAAAAGTAGTTTGATAGTTTAGGCAAGTAAGAGTATTTTTATACCAAAACCCCTATTTCAGTTTATAATTTCATATTATTTTTACTCCATATAGATGAAGAAGAATAATAGAATCTAGTTCAGAACATAATATTTTTCTAATAGTCTATTATTCTTTTATAATAAAATTAATTGTTCTTTTATATTAATTTTTAGGTTGTTGTTGAACTGGTGAAATTTAATATGTGGACGTTGATGGTTATTTTATTAAAATAGAATTTTTAAGTATAGCTATAGTGCCTGAGTCTGAGAGAAAAGGAAACCAAGAACCAAATGTTAGAACATTGTTTGTTAAGCATTTGAAGATGTTCTAATAGAAATCTTAGCTTAGTTTTAAAATTTTCTGTTAAAATTTAGAATAGTGCAGTTAATGAATCTATGGCTGAGATGTATTTAAAGATTAGTAGCATTAATATTCCTAATGAGCAATCAGCTTTTACTTGCTGTTGGTCTTTGATAGGATAAAGAGTTCTGTTACTTCAAATTCTGTTAGCTTTCTTAAAATAAGTGTGAAATAGCAAGGTTTAAAATACATATTTTTAAATTGGTTTCAAAATATGTGAAGATGCAAAAACATGCAATAGAGCCATTCATGTGTCAGTTAAGATTTAATTGCTTACCTTAGTGAAGAAAAAGAGCTTTAAAAAGTTCATTATACTCAAACTAGTGTTATAGAACTAATTTTTTTTGCTATTATCATGAAGTGCTTACTGTTTTCCCACCTACCTTGCATTTAAAGGTAAATAAATGAGGAAATTTTTGCTAAATCTGTTCAGGAAGAAGCATAAAAGAATTTCTGACATTTACTTTTCTGTTATCAAGTACTTCCTATGCATTTCTTTCTGTGTATTTACAAAAAAATTGTTGAAGGGTAGAATTGTAGCTCCAAAGTTTCTGTTTTAATACTGCTATGTGATACTGAAAATAAAGTGAAACTTAATGCATTTGATGCACTAGTCTAATACACTGACTGTCCTTTCAGTCAGGACTCCTATATAGGTGGCAGAATAGTCAAAATAGACATCCTTTGTTGTATTTCTGTCAATTCTTGAAGCTGGTGAATAGTATGTTTTGGCCAGGTAAGAGGAAAGGCTGTTAATTGATTAAGCTGTTGAGGTGTGTATTTCCTTTCATTAAGGAGGTAAGGATCTCTATTTCTCTAAATCTTCAACTTTACTGTACAAGATCTTTATTTTGTAACTTTTTAAGTCTGTCTAAGAACCCTTGAGTTGTGACCTTAATTTTTAATCTGTTCCCTTCTTCAATGAAGTAGGACAAAAGATGAAGTGAGGCTGTATTACTCGAGAAATGTAAATGTGTCTCCATGGTTTGATCATTGTTTCCTGCCCAAATAACACACTGTGTAACATATATGTGTCAAAGGTCTTTTCTTCTAGAGCACCCAGAATGGATCTTGCCAAAAAAATGGCAGCACAAAAAATATAACTTAAATTCTCTCAGAATAAACTGCTTTGATACTCGATGGGACATGAATTTGTTGTAACAGTTTGCAGCTTCTCACATCAGCACAGTATTTTTTCACAATAATATAATATGTACTCTGATGTGCTTAGTTCTGAGCAGGCACTGGAAAGCCATGTTCAAACTATATGATCTTATCTCTGCTGTATTTTTCCATTTTTCTCAGGATGTTGACACCATGCTGATAATTTCTTTTATTACAGTTCTCTCAAATGTTTGGTTCTTTCACAGGAAATGTGAGGACTGCTAGCATAAAGAAGCTTTTTCTATTTTAAAACAGCAGAATATGTGAAGTCAAATGCACTGAATATGAGAACTGGAATGTCCAAGAAGCTTTGGATTGAATTGTTGAAGTCAATGGAAAGTTGTCAAGGCCTTGGATTTTAAGAGAAAGAACATTGCAGTAGTTCTGAAGTCTTACTTGCTTAAGAAGCACCTAAAAGGAAGTGTGTTAGGAACAAGAAGTATTTTTAAACAGTTGACAGAAGAGTTGATAAGAGTAAAGGATAGAAGGAAAAATTGCAAAGCTATTAAACATCACAAAAGACATGAAAACAAATAGCAGTGGGTTTATAGACAAGGCAGCAAGAAAAGTAAAAAGGAGATTATTGAAAAGAACAGACAGCATAAAGCCCACTGCAGAAGCTAAATGCTCCTTCAATTCTTTTTCATTTAGAAATTAGCACATTTAATATAAGGGCAACAAACTATGGCTGATGAACTGTAAACAGCAATGGTCATGTGTAAAGGGGCAGGGGGTAGTTAATTCAGTGTCCTTGAACAAGGAGGTCTGTTTTAGTATATATTATTCCCTGGAACCTTGAAGTTAGTTTCCATTTAAGCCATGTTTGATGCTTGTATTCAGGTGTTTCTAGTATTTGTTTGTTTTTAGACATGTAATTAGGTAAGAGGGTGGGAGAAGAGAACCAAAGGTATTTTTTATTAAAGGTGATTTCTGTGCTAACTAGCTTAATAGATTTTTTTGAGAGAAACACATTTTAAGGCCTGTAATGATAGCTGGAGGTAACTGATGGTAACCTTCCACCTACCAAGCTGGAAAGAAAAAACTATTTTTAAAAAACTTTGAAGATTATAGTTAAAGTCTTATATACAGACCCCCATTTTAAAAGAACCACACATACTTATTTTTTGCTTTCTTCCTGACTTACTTTCAGACCACCCAGGAAACAGATGGTTTCTGCCAGGCTCTCAGAAATGCATGCTTTATTCTGATAGTTTATCATCAGAAAAGACATTGTTTATGCTATTCTGCTATAATGTGTTCTTAATTTGGGCAGTCTATATGGGGAGGTTATTCGTTAGGATTTCCTTCTCAGTAAAACTCAAAAAGATTTTCTGAAATACATATTAATAAAAGAAGTTGTGGTTAGTGAGCTCTATTTTTATGGTTTCTCAGTTTGCCACACGTTATGAACCATGTTACATCACTGATGTTTTGGGTGATGTTTACCATTTGATATATATTGGTGTTCGATGCCATTACCATGTTCTGCAAAATTTTCTTAATAAAAAAGGTTTTATTACATTCACACTGGAGTTAATTTTTACATACATCCATGCACTTACTGGTATTAAGATACACTACAAAAAATTCAAATTATTTTCCTGGATATGTTATTAATGGTTTAGGATTTTCTTTTTCTCCTGACAAATCGTTTTGAAAAAGCTGTTGTGTTCACTGTAATTGAGCTGCAGTGAATAGAAAAGTCAGTCTCTTGTACTGCTGTCTTTTATATCATTTTGAGATATGGATAGTTTGAGGTGTTCGGATACATATTATACTGTAAGCATAAATACTGTAGAGCTGAAATGCAGATTTGAGGATGATGCATGTGTAAGTAGGTGTCTCTACAGTGGGATTTTAAAATCAGCTACTGTTGACCTCCTTCTACAAGTATAATACAGTCACTCAGCTGTTAAAAACCTGATCCACTATTTAAAAAATATACAAAAACAAATTGTCTATCTTTCTGCCTGATCTCCTTTCAAGTGCTAACACAATGGAAACAGTGGGTGATCTGTCAATGCATTTGGATTGTCAGTGATGGTTTTGTATAAATATTGGGAGGATAAGAAATAAAATTCGCACGGCAGAATATGATTTCATCTGCCTTTTCTCTGCAGCTCCATGGCTCATGCTGCAGTGTGAAATTCTCATTTTACACACTTTGCAGGCGGAGCACATGAATTATGCATTGAGCAAGAGAAATCTCCTGCTTCAAGTCCTATATGCATTTACCAGGTTCTATCTCTATTACCAAGATGAATTGCAAATGGAGAAATGTTTGATGGAATATACCTTAACTTCTTTGTTTAGTATTCTGCTTTTCCCACAGTGGTAGAAAACTGTTTGGGTTATATTGTAGGCTTAGTTTTAAGAAAAAAAAATAAAATTGTGTTAATAGAAAAATGTCAGACACATCAGAACCTTTTTATTGTCTTGATTTCAAATGCAAAGCTTTTTTTACTCAATTGAAATATCTGCAGTCATTGGCTATTTATTGGTCATAGATAGCAAATAAATTTTCTTTTCTTGGAAAAAAACAAAAAAAATCATGTTTGTAGTAGGCAGGACCCACATAAATAGGTTTCTTTGGTGTTTTCTGCAGAATTGTACACAATTAATGTACATACACATATATAGAAACACAGATATGCATGAAAATATATGGTGTTTTTGTGTGTATATACAGTACCCAAACACACGAGTAGCCTACTCTACTGAACACTCAACTGAAGTTGGAAATAAGACATGATCACACTTAAACATTAGCTTTATCTTGAGTTAATTAGCTCTGGATTTTACATTTCCCAGATGGTAGGGTCAGGTTTGTGCGGTTTTTGCTTTCTGTTTGGTGGAATTGTTTGCTTGCTTGTTCTTTATAGTAAACTGATACATTTAAATGCAGTCTTCTGATAAAGTGTGCAGTGAGTTTTCCTTGCCACACATTGGTTCAATAATTTTTTTACTTGTTCCTTATTTTAGGACCATTTTATTTTGTTTTGAAGTATAAGAAGTACATTTTCTTGAAGGACTTTTTTCCCCTTTTTTAAACATTTTTTTTGTAGTAGTAGTAGTAGTAGTAGATTCAAAGCAATATCAGTGCAGGGATGGATTTCACCTTATAAAAGTACACATCAAGCTTTGTGTACTTTTTGTACTTGTGACAGAAAAAGCAAACTGAAGCATACTGTTGGTATTATTTGTGACTTAGAATGTCCATCTTAGTTGTCTTCAATAAACAGATTCAGTAAACAATAAGAAGATTCTTTTGCAGTGGCTCATATTTTTTTAGAAACTTGTACCGAAGCGTGTAAAATTCTCATCCTTGTGGGGCTCTTGTGTGGGTTAAGCCACTTTTTAGAGACTTTTAATTTGCTTTATAATAAAAGGAGATGGAGACATCTCTATGGAAATACTCAGCAAATATAAAGCTGTAGCTTTGAACCTCAGTAAGAGTGGAAGGTAGAACTGTATCTTACAGATATGTATCTTATGGGACAGAGTTCAGAAACTGAGGATATTTTTAATGTATTTGCCTTTCATTTAACTGAACTCTTCCTTAGTCTGTTTTGGTTTCTGAAGGGTTACTAGTTTAGGAAAAAGGTTGTCATATATTATTTATAGTAAAAGTGCTAGAAATAACTGATAAACACAAGATTCAGGGCTAAATATTCACCAAATGATGCTATAAAGTGGCTTGGAATTAATGAGAATGATTGTCACAAAATTGTGTCTCTGACATGAGTAATTCAAGTAGAACTTGTAATAGTGCACTGTTTGTCATTATTTCACCAATTTAAAACAGGAGTAGCCAAAACAAACTTAGTGACTTATTAAGAAACACTTCTCAAGAGAAAAGTCTGGTATTCTTGAGCAGAATGGAATTCAAGAAACTTGATTTTGCAAGAGTCCCTCACTAATTCTTGACAAAACATAAAATAAATGGTATAACTTCAGCACTGTGTTAAAGTTATTTTGTAGTATTTTCTTTGTCCAGAGGAGTTTTAGGTTTCAGCTAAATCAGCAGTAGTAGAACACTCAAATACCATAGTGATAAAGACCATCAAAATATGATGATGTTAAAATAACTTTTAAAAATAGTGGTTCCTGTTCTTTTCAGTCCACAAGATGATTCTTCTCCCAGAATACCTGAAGCATATCTGTACGGATCATATAAGTGACTACTGTCTGCTTGAGGCATGGTATTTATTGGGGTGATAAGTATTATCATCATAGCCAAGGTCAAACCTCGTAGTCATTAACATCAATGGCTTCAAACAGCAAGAACATTGGCTAGTTTATTTCATGTTCTTTAGAGACAACCGTAGAATTTCTCACAAAATGGAGAAAAATAAATTAATTGTTATCATTTGTTTGCAACTGACTGTGAAGCTGAGAGACTGGAAGAAAGGGAATGCACCTTGAGATAAGAGGAGTTATTTTTATTCTATGTTGCCAGTTCAAGGAGGTGGTTCTAGCTGCTGAGTTGACTCCAAGCTCTTCTAGAAATCTGTATCCTGAGTGTCTGAAATGCTCAAGAAATTATGGCATAAATGGACCTAAATAGATACACTGATTTATTTAGACCTGTTATTTTATTAGAAGTGGAAAAATAATTATATTTGTATGCGTATTTAGCTGTCATGTACTGTTTAAGAGGAAACAGGTAAACTAGAAATTGTGACTCCTGGAAAGACTAAATTTAAATTACTTCAAATAACCTGGGTGACAAACAATGCCTTAAGGTCTAAAGGCTGTTAACATAATTTCTAAAAAAATGGCAAAGCTTTCTGTTTGGTATGTGAGCCAGAGAGGATGAAAGTAGAAGAAATTCTTCAGCTGACATAAGTGAAAGATGCTTTAGAGTGGGTAGGGACAACATGATGACAAAACTCTTTGACACACAATGGTTCTGGCTACATCCAAAAATCAATGCTTTATAATAATCTGCCCTCTTGGCAGTCTATACTGAGCTGTAACACTGAAGATTTTCCTGAATCACCACTGTCTAGCCATGCTTGGTAGGTATGGCCAACAGTTACTCTTATGAGATTTGTTTAGAAATTTTTATTTAGGTCTTGAAGCAAATTTTGTTGAAATACTCTGTCGAGGTACTGGTATTATTACTTCTGTAGTCTTAAGGTACAGCCAATTCTTATTGTTAGAACTCATCTCAAGGCTTAAAACTGAAACTTTTTTGGTGAGAAAAATCAACTTTCTGTTAAGTAAATCCCAGTAGATAATTGGACAGAATTCCATGCTCCTAGATAAGTGCAAATAACACCTATTTTTACTGAATAGATTTTGATCTGTTTTTCATATGAAATCAGAAATCTTTTGTCTTAAAGAGATAGCAGCTTTTTTTTTTTTTAATGGTCGCATCAGAAGTATCTGATCTGTCACCAAATGTTTTCTGTGTGGCAACAATGATTAATATTCAATGTATACAAGGGCTACAGAAATTCAGTTGTGGAATTTAGGTTCAGTTTAACTATATAAACAAATGTTTTTCAGTAGATG